TTGTCTCCTGTCTGGAACAATTCTTGTGGCATCTGATTTTACCTCAGTAAACATTTAAATGAGAATGATCATACAAGGAATATCTTGGGAACTGGACATAGGCAAATGTAGCAACCCTGTCATTTAATATATTGAGCAAAATTCTGCAGAATAAATTATTTTAAATCTACTTTTGCTTTATTCAGTAAGTTCTTGTTCTGTCTTTTTTAGTGTCATTTCCCAATCAAACCGTTTTTTAAGATGTTTTTCTTTGACTTAAGTTCTTCAATGTGTATACTTTTCAAGGCTTAGTTCTCAAAAAATCTACTAGAGGTCACCTGTATGGGTTTTACTAGTGCTTAAATTGCTGGTCACTGGTTTATACAGACTTAATGATAAAATTCTAGCTTTCAGCACAGAAAACCTTGACCTGCTCCACCGTCTTTGATAAAGGCTCTGATCCTAAGAGCTGTAATGTTGTTTTTCCTGAGTGATTTAAATAATCAACAGAATAGCTAACCTTGTTAGGAGACAAAATTAGAGAGGCTCTTTATAATTTCACCCTGAATTCACCTACAGGCTTACACTGAAGAACTATAAAAAGCATTCGGTATGCCCAAGGCCAATGAGTTTGAATCAATTATCGTAGCAGCTTATTTGTGCTAATGTGTTTATATGGTGAGCTCTCTTTCCCTGAAGTATTTGCATGATCTAGAGACTGCTTTTCATTTCCAGATAGAAAAGCTCCTAGCCACCCACACTCAGGAATGCAGCAATAATGGATTATCATTATTCCTGACAGCATATGCTAATTCATTGACTTTTAAATGGAAAGAAAACACACATTGAAATGGTTTTATGCTCTAAATACATCATTCTGACCATGCAGTAAACTTTCAGGTCCAATTAAGTCTCTTAGACTTTATATAAAAAGACTTAATATGATTTTAATGTACTTATAACTCTCATTACTTATTATATAGGGTTGTTAAAATATGAACATCAAAGCTGGGTGCTGGTGACTCAGGCCTGTAATCCTAGCTACTCAGGAGACTGAGATCTGAGGATTGTGGTTCAAAGGCATCCCAGGCAGGCAAATCTGTAAGACTCTTATCTCCAAAATACCACCAGAACACTGGAATTATGTGGCTCAAAGTGGTAGAATGCTAGCCTTGAGCAAAAAAAATTCAGGGACAGTGCTCAGGACCTGAAGTCAAGCCGCAGGACCAAAAAAAAAAAAAAAAAAAAATCGAATGAAAATATTTTTAAAAAATGATCCTATATTTGTGCTTTCAAAAGTAGAATCTAAAAATATGCCGGGCGCTGGTGGCTCATGCCTGTAATCCTAGCTACTCAGGAGGCTGAGATCTGAGGATCGCGGTTCAAAGCCAGCCCGGGCAGGAGAGACCGTGAGACTCCTATCTCCAATAAACCACCAGAAAACCGGAAGTGGTGCTGTAGCTCAAGTGGTAGAGCGCTTGCCTTGAGCTGAAGAGCTGAACCCAGAGTTCAAGCCCCACAGCCGACTAAAAAAAAAAAAAAATATATATATATATATATATATATATATATATATATATATATATAAAAGGTCAGTGATATGTATTCATTGATTCATATATAATGATCATTTAATGAATATTTTTGAGGTGCTTTTGAAAGTAAAATATAGAATCTAAAAATATATAAGGGTCAATTATATGGATTCATTGATTCATATATAATGATCATTTAATGAATATTTTTGCGGGCCTGTCATGTTAGGCACTTAGAAGTGACAAGGAAAATAATTATCCACAGGAAATATTCTCCTCCTTTAAGATTATATTTTCTGTGTATTTGGCAAAACTGACCACATAGCCTAGTCTCTGATAGCAAATAGGCACTTATAAGAATTTACAAAAATTCACTTTCATGTATATTTTTGTACTGTTTGCAGAAAACAGTGTACTGTGTTTGTCCCCTAGAGTTACTACTGCAAATTAATGCAAACATGCCTGCCATGCCACTGAATCTGTTCCAATGAAATCTGTTTCCAATGAAGGTATCAGAGGGGTGGGACAGGCTGGGTCAGGGCAGTCTCTCCAGGTTTTCAGGGTCTGATACTTCCTTGATTCTCAGGGATATCCTAGCAGTCCTGGAAATGGAGGCCTGACTACAGCCTTTCCTCCCTCCACCACAGATCAAACCCCCTCCACCTATGCCTGTCCAAACCATTCCCTCAGAAGGACACAGCAGGCAGTGAATTTTGAACTAGGGAGTAGAATCTCATCTTAGTGTGACTGTACCTGTGAAAACTACTTCCATATGAACAAACATTCATGTCTGAATTTATGTGAGTGACACTATTCAGTCAGTATAAATGTGAACACAAACAAAACCAGTATTAGCATATGTTTTATATTATCTGCTTTTTTTTGGGGGGGGGGGGTCCGGTTGTGGGGCCTGAACTCTGCCTGGGCTCGGTCCCTCAGCTCTTCAGCTCAAGGCTACACTTGAGCCACAGCGTCACTTCCGGCTTTTTTCTTTTTGCTTATGTGGTGCTGAGGAATTGAACCCAGGGCTTCAGGCATGCAAGGCAAGTGCTCTACCACTGAGCCACCTTCCCAGCCCCATCTGCTTTTTTCTTATAAAAAACTTTTTTTAAAAAAATAGATCTTGAACTTTTGTATGATTTACACATCCATGTTACCATGTAGTTTGTGACTTAGCTTGTTTAACATTTCTTCCTCTATTTTCCCCCTTAAGGGAAGACTAAATTATAAGTTCAGGTTTACATTGACTGTTGCTAGAACCATTTTTTTTTTTCCCTGAGGAGCCTGCCTTGGAGATTCGGACCACTTTGATAGTGCTACAAATCATTGTCTGACTAGAACTAGAGGACTACTTGAATACCTTTCCTTTTCGGATAATTAAAAAAATGTACTAACATTTTCTAGTTTTGCACAATGCAAACAAGAAATTAAATTGTATACTCAACTGAAATTGTCCTTCTGATCAACCAAGGTATGGAGGTAAAGTTTCTAGAACGCTCTTCTCTGCTCCATTTAGAAAAATGACATATTCCAAATGCGAGATGAACTCCAGTATAGAACCCTGGAGCTCCGGACACATGTCCCGGGAGCTTTCCTGGCAACACTGGGCCCTACCTCCTCATTACCAAATAAATATCTGCTGGCAAAATCCTGACAATAGGAAGAAAGGAATAATAACAGTCATACGTCCAAACTGTCATTTTTTAAAAAATTTACTGTAGAGGTGATGTACACAGGGGTTACAGTTACATAAGGTAATGAGTACATTTCTTTTTGAACAGTGTTACCCTCTCCTTCATTTTCTCCCACTTTCTCCCCTCTGACTCCTCTTCCCCTCAAGTTGTATAGCTCATTTCCAATGTAGTATCTACTGAGTATCACTGTTGCATTGGTTCACCCTTTGTCCCACCATTTCTGTAATTCCCTTTCCATTCCCAAATTGGATAAACCTATATACAACACAAAGGGTACAGGAAAAAAAAACAAAAACAGAAACAGAAACAGGGACAACAGAAAATCAAAAAAAAGAAAGAACCGCAAACGGTATATTAATAAAAGCCTCATTTCCAAAAAAAAAAAAAAAGCCTCATTTCCATTTCTTGGATTTCACGTTAATAAACATCATTTTATAAAATGCAAACTGTATTTTCCATGGTTCCTCATTCAAGGCAGGAGTGTAATGCAAAGACACTCTAGGGAAGTGCCTGGTTCACTTCTTTCCAAGACTAGTTGGCACAGAAGAGAGCTCCACTGCCCTGGTCCCAAGACTTCCTTAAATCTGGTAGGTCCAGATCTGAAATTCCCATGACAAACAGGGTGCTTAGCCTTTGAACCTTCATCTCTATGATCACCTGCTTGGGATTTGAGCATTTCAGTTCTCAACCTGAGGAACAGTCACTGGGAAATTGGGAAGGTTAATTACCCAATTAGTAACTAGAAATCCAGTAAGCAACCCCAGGATTTCCAGGTAGGGGGTACATGTGTCTGTTAAAGCAACCCACTTCCCCACTTTTTCTGGACTACAACTTCTTTTTAAAATGAGAATAGCGTGTCTCAAATTTTATCACGTAACAGATTCACCCAAAGGGCTTTTATTTGAAATAAACTGTTGGCCATTGAGTCCAGAGTGTAAGTTTAGGTTGGGCTTTAAAAAAAAAAAAATCTGCATTTGTAACAAATTACCAAATGACAGTACTCTAGTTGTTAGACTTGGTTTTGAGAACCACTACTGGGAGAAATTTTGCATTTTCTTCTGGGACCAGCAGGTCGGGGTCAGGGGACTGTATGAAAGCACAAACAGCAATACAGAGAGACAAGGCATGAAACTCCACCTGCCTTTAAGGGTCTCCTGGTGGTGACTGTAGTTCTTAAATACAATCTACAGTGCGTGGTTAAGGCGGCAGCAGGGGTGTGGTATTTCTGTCTGCTGTGGGGATTACTGTAATGTCTGATTCTCATGGGGAGGACAAGGGCGCTGCAGTGCAGCTCCACTGGCCTTTTGTCCCCGTGTATGCTCAGATCTAACAGCTGAGATTTCCTTTGTACTTCATTTGAGTTACTTTCACACTATTACACTTTCTTGGAAGCAAAGTGTGTGCTGTGAATACAGGCTGCATTTCTTTCCATCCATCCAAGCTTTTAAATTAAACTGGATAGGTGACAAAAATATAAAACCAATTTCAGATTGGTACAAAGAACTTCATTTTAGGCCCACATTCTGCCCTCGGAATCATCTGTTGCTTCCCCTCAGTACACACATTTTGGCTTTACCTGTGGAAATACTTCTCGTATCTTCGATGAATTGTTCTTCTTTTAGGTGTTGGATTTGATCTTGGAGAAACGGAGCTGTGGGGCTTTGGTGTCTGGATTTAAATCCATCTGAAAAGTTGCTGGGGAAATGGATCTGAGAAGTGTACCGTTCTAAGGGGTAACAGACTTCCCTGTCCTCCTCTCAGAGCTGTCCATAACTATTTTGTTTTGTTTCAGCGTTCGGGCGGCAGCCTTGCCACACCCCTGTGTGCATTCCAGGGGATGGTGTCTCTCCAGGCACCCACCGGAAAAACCCTGTCCCTTTCTACCTATGAGGTCAGCGCAGAAGGGCAGAAAATAACCCCTGCCTCTAAGAAAATAGAAGTCTATCGATCTAAAAGTGTTGGCCATGAACCAAATACCGAGGATTCTCCTTCTACGTTTGCAGACACCAGTGTCAAAATACACTTGGAGGTTCTTGAAATTTGTGACAACGATGAGGCCTTGGACACTGTGTCGATTATCAGCAACATCAGCCAGTCCTCCACCCAAGTGAGATCACCATCGCTGCGCTACTCGCGCAAAGAAAACAGGTTTGTGTCCTGTGACTTGGGGGAAACGGCCTCCTACTCCCTCTTTTTACCTACGAGTAACCCAGATGGGGACATCAGCATCTCCATCCCAGATACTGTGGAGGCACACAGACAGAACAGCAAGAGACAGCGTCAGGAGAAGGACGGCTACCAGGAGGAAATCCAGCTGTTAAATAAAGTTTACAGGAAGAAAGAGGAAGAGAGGAAGGGCAGCGAGGGGTCTGCTGGTCCAGGCGGAGCAAGAGAGGCCACGCAGCCTTGACCTGGGAAAGGAGCGCCTTTGTGCTAAGACCATTTCTTTTTCTCTGTTGTTCACATGCCCTGTAGTGGTTTACTAGTTAGCTGTTTTCAGTGTGGATGGCTGGCCTTGTGTGGACACCAAGTGCATTCTATGTGTTACCTGAAGATCACACACTGTGGTAATTGAAAGATTTCGTGTCTTGTCCAATTTCTAAAAAAAAAAAAAAACTTTCTAAAATGGATCTTGGCCTAGTTCACTCCCATTTCTGCCTGCATTTGTCAAATGAATATAAGCTTGCCATACACATTTCTACACAGTGTTGGCCTGCAAGGCGGAAACAAGTATCAATGCTTGAACTACACAGTGTTGGCCTGCAAGGGGGAAACAAGTAGCAATGCTTGAACTATATTAAAAAAGGCTTGCCTACATGCGGCTAGCAGTGAGCTCCTCCCAGCTGCTGCTTTAGCGTTACAAGTCTGCCTAGAGAACATTCTAGAAAAGGCAAATTCATTTCTCTAACTTGGAACACACATACCCCTAAGTCTTAGACACTCACTTCATTTGTAAAATATGTGATTTAACAAGTGGCTCTTCATTTCCTTAAGTATATCAACAATGCTGCCATCTCATTCTGACACCATGTCTCTTAAACATGCTGGCTGTTCCAAATGAGAAAGTTTCATTGTTAGCTTTCCTCCACGATAACCAACATCCAAGATAGTCAACTTGGCTCCCCTCATGGTGAGCCAGGGAGTAGGAGAAAGTGGGGGATAGGGCAGGAGAGAGGGTGAGAGTCCCACTGGCCCTTCAGCGGTATACCCTAATGACCTAAAGAATTCCCAGCAAGCCACATCTCCAGAGGTCCTGACTTCTGGGGACCAAAACTTCACTAAGTGAACCTTTGAGATCCAAACTACTGCAAGCCACATGGTACCCTGAACTCCCCCTAGGATTGTTTTACTTGAATAGAAACTTGGGGAAAGACCACCAGAGAAAGCCCTGAGAGGGGCACCACCCCGAGGAGCAAGCTTTGGCAACACAGAGTAAAATCCTGAGACTAAAACAAAAGTGCCAAGATTCTGATCTCTCCTCATATCTTATCTTTCTCCTTTTCAAAGAAGTGTCTTTTCTAAGGCTGCACTGGGCAGACTTTCTTATCCATTCTTGAGACACAGAAAAATTTATTTCACAAAGGATTTCATGAGTCAGTGTGCTTTGCTTCTTCCCCATGGGCACCTATGGGGAAGATGAATAAGCAGTTCCATGTGCACTTTGTTAAACGACTGTGAGGTAATTTCAAGATTAATTTTAGAATGCATTGCATTGAAAACATGCAGGAATCACCTTGTAAGAATATTAGTCATGTATACTTGAAATTTTATTATTTTTCTTCAAACTGCTTCATTCTAATATTTCTGTACAGATATATTAAATGTTACTTAAATGTTCAATGTTCATTTTCCAAAGTTATTGTTTTGTATGGTCTTAGACTTTGTATATCCCAACTCACACACCTTATTTAATTAGTTAGTTATACATTGAGTGAATTATTTTTAGAATAGTTGTTTTTCACTTCTAGTTCAATATACTGAAAGTCTAAGTCATTTTCAGATTGTTTCATCCTTAAAGTGTTTTTGCCAAGAAAAATCATTTTAAAATAATTATCTCAATGAACTTTCTTCATCTGTCATAACTCCTCAAATAGCTCATCAATTTAGGAGATACATGTAATGTCATTCAGGATGTTGTGAAAGTAAGCCTCAAATAATGCATAATATGTAAACTCAAACTCATGCATTCTCTTTACAATCTAGTTCATTCTAAAATATTATGTGTCACCAAAATTAAGAGATTTTAACACAATGATAAGCAAATCTGTTTGATGGTGAAAATCATTACGTACTAAATGTGTACATGTACAAAAGAAAATGGAAAGTAAATATTCTAATAATTCTTGTAAAATGTTTTGACAAATCTGGATTCACGATATTCTGAAAAGGAAGGTGACTGACACTGCAGCTTTTCTGGCAACAAAAGAAACAGGAACACAGCAAAACTAAGAGAACAGGAAAGAACTGGATATAAGAAGTCTTAATCACACAGCCCTCTAGATCAGAGTAAGATGATAGAAACCAGGGTGCAAAGCGCATAGGATTACAATGCTCTGGGCAGCACCCAGGCCCAGAGTTCAAGCTCCACAACCAACTGTAATCCTAGTTACTAAGGAGGCTGAGATCTGAGGATCATGGTTCTAAGCCATCTGGGTAGGAAAGGCTGTGCGACTCTTATCTCCAATAAAGCACTGAAAAAACTGGAAGTGGCGCTGTGGCTCAAGTGGTAGAGCGCTAGCCTTGAGCTGAAGAGCTCAGTAGTATACTGCCTAGCAATGCCTATCTTCCTGCTTGTCTTAATTTCTTTTCAGCAGATGTGGGCTAGGCTCAGGGAACTGGAAAATGACGCTCTATGTGCCCACTTCAAGGCCTGGCTTGCTGAACTACATAATAGACCTACTTTAAAATTCCACTGCATTGAAGCATTGCAGGGTTTCTTAGTCCAGAGATGTGGGTTGAGAGGTTAATCAGTATTATGTTACTAACTTAACACTTCAAACTCCATGCCTGAACATGAGTGTCTAACAAGAACTTGTGTGGGCAGTGTGTGCATGTGAATGGCTGCTTCAGTTCTTTGTAGAGAGGGAACCTTAACTGCAAGTTCATTTAGGTTTACTCCTTAGTGTGCTCCTAATGCTCAAATAGGAAATGGCCCTATATACACTTCATGCTATATCCGTATTTCTAATGGATATAGTTACACAGCTCTTTTTAATATAAACATTGCAGTTTTCTTTATAGATTGATGTCTGAAGATAACATCTTGTTAAATTAAAAGATGTCACCATCTGGTGGTAACTCATGCAAACTGCAAACACAAAAGGCTCTCATAAGAAAAATAATCCCTAAAACCTCCCAATTTGTTTTAAGACAGCAAGCAAAGATGTTTACTCAGACTCTAGTTAAACAAACCAACAAACAAACTTGCCAGGTGCCAGTGGCTCACACCTGTAATCCTAGTTACTCAGGAGGGTGAGATCTGAGGATCACGGTTCTAAGCCAGCCCGGGCAAGAAAGTCTGTGCATGCTTATCTCCAATAAAGCACTGAAAAAACTGGAAGTGGTGCTGTGGCTCAAGTGGTAGGCCGCTAGCCTTGAGCTGAAGAGCTCAGGGGCAGCACCCAGGCCCAGAGTTCAAGCTCCACAACCAACAAAAAAACAACAACTTGATTTTACATTATTTGTAGGCTCTCAACAAACTTCTGTAGTAGTTAATCTTATGAGCACATTTTCTCTTAATTTCTTATGCTTTCGATGATTTTCCTCTTGGTAGTACCAGGGCTTGAACTCAGGGCCTTAGATGCATGTGGCTTGCTCATCTGGCACATTATCACTTGAACCATGAGTCCAGTTTCCTTTTGCTCATTATTTTGGAGATGGAGTTGCACACTTCTCTACCAGGTTGACTTCAAACCATAATTCTCCAAGTCTTAGCCTCCTGAGCAGATAGGATTATAAGCATGAGCTATCACATCTAGCCCTAGTCACTCATTCATTACTATTTTATTTTAAATGACTAATTGTTTTAATTACTCCAAATTATAACTGAGAATGGAAGATAACACACCTATAAATATATACATCTTATGAGTTCAAGCAAACTACAAGGTTAGTAAACATAGTCCACTCAAGATTTCCTCACTCCTGGCACCAATTGCAATCAACTAGATGGGTTCAGGTACCTCTTGGAAAGCTGTGAACACATGGTTACACTTACACCAGGGGAAATAAACAGGATAATGCCAGCCAAGGGAAGCTCAGTAGAAAAGGGAGTTTTCTCAATGTGGAGTTTGTGCTGTGAGTCCAGGCAGTGTTATTTTCCTGGCATAAGCGTGTGCCAGCTGGGAGATATTATGAGATCAACTGGGGGAAATCACAGCCCAGCAAAGGAAAGCATACATTTCCTGAAATAGAACAGCCTGCTGAATGCTCCATTATCAAGGAAGTTGGTAGGAAGGCAAAGGGGGGAAGAAGTAGCTGGAGACTCAAACACTCAAAATTATTGCTGCTGTACAGCAACAATTGCAACAGCACTCCAGAACTCTGTCAGTTATTACATAGCTGGGATGTAGAAACTTCTGTGTATTGCATAGGAGATAAGGATGTAAGTGATGAGTCTAGTGAGCATTCTTGGCACTGTTTATTACTGGGATGAAGCAAGGTGAGCCAGTATCTGACACCTCCAGGTGCCAATAAACCAACTGGGAATAATAGCTAACTAAAATGAGATCCCAAACACCAACTGCTGAGCTGAGCTGAATTGGCCATGGACATCTGCAAGGCTCTGATGGTCATAAGTTGAGTAGCATAGACTATTAAATCTATGCAATTCTAAAGTAGAAATAACTTCCCTCAATCTCCTACATCAAACTTCATCTTAGGGAAATAGGAAAAGAGATAGGAAAAGGCTAAGAGAGAATGGAACTTCATGATTAACTGAAACAAGACTGTCTTGACGTGAACAAGAAAAAATTGCTGGCAATTTTAAGATATTTCTATTCCCTTGCCTAGCAAGGAGAGGACTTAAGAGATGTATCAGTGATGATACTAAACTTGAAAACCATACATTTTCCTTGTAAGCAAATGGAGACCTCACTATAACAACTTTAGTCTGGGAGAGTTGTCCTTTATAACTCAAATTCACTTTCAAGATAACTAAAATTTTCCAGTTTGTTTCAAAATGGCACGATAGGACAGTAAGCTTTTCCATAATCTTCCTTATGTATATTTTACCATTCCTCCTCCTTTTCTGTTCCCCTCCCACAAACAGCCTGACTTTGACATTCCAGACAGGGTCCGGATCACCCTTAGAACCCTTCCTAGGTCTCATCCCCACTTCCAGAGGAAGTCAAGTCAATTAAGTTCCAGTGTCCACAGGGCGCACTAAAGATAATCAACACTCCGGGGCTTAGAAAATATTAACCCTCAAGTGAATCCTATTGTTAGGAAAATGGAGAATGGAAAAGGAATAGACTGGACTCCATCGTCAACAGGTTAGGACTGTTTATTGCCAGGAAGGGGCACGGACCTTTCCGCGGGTTTGTGGGAGGACCTGGATCTGGGGCCGGGTTTATCTGGGGCTTTAACAAGGAAGCAGAAAATAAAAACTAGGCTAAGGTCTCCTGGGCCCAGAGTAGAATGCTCTGCCTAGGGGGAGGGGACTTTCGGCCGAGCCCCAGGTGAGCGCCTACCTGGTACTTCGCTTGACCTGGGTATATAGGGCAGGAGTCAGTCCTTCCATACGGTTATGTCTTGTCCTGAGAGGAAGAGTATGGAAAGCAGGCCAGGTGCTGGGGGCTGATGCCTGAAACCCCCGCTACTCAGCAGGCTGAGACCCAGCACTTCCAAATATATACTTGTTGGGTCTTCGTCAGTCCCGGAAGACAGACGGGATCGAGGAGAGAGGTAAGTTCCCCACTTGCCCGTTCCCCAGCCTCCCTTTAGCCTCGTAGACAGACACAGCAGGGAGTCAAGTCGAGCAGGAACTCGTTTATTACCACACAGCAATCACTTTTTAAAGCAAAAAACCACCCAGCATGGAAGAGGAAAAGGAACCAACCAATCACTGCAGAGGTCACCCAATCGGTACCTAAACTTTCTATACTTTCCCTGCTGTCCATGAGGTGTTCAAGCACTGACTTCGCCTGGTTGTGGTATCCAGTCAGAGTTTAACATAAACAACCCGGGCTCTGCCCACTCAACTCCCTCTCAGCGCCAGCTTTGCTGCCCAAGTGCCCCACATATACTTGCTTAGACGTACATACATACATAGACGTATGCATATATGATATCACAATTCGCGTGCATATACCTCATTGTGTATATATGCACATATGTATGTATATATAATACTTGATTGAACATGCGGACGAGGCAGGAGAGGAACGAGTTCACCGCCGTGGACCCCGCGCCGAGGCACGGCCTCGGTGAAGTTGGTACCGACTGCCCTGCGCCGCCGAGTCCCGCGTCCCGCGCCGGACCCACAGGCCCCGACGGTCTGCGCCCAGCCCAGCGCCCTCCCCGAAGGAGAAGCCACGAGCACCGCATTCCGGACCGCTTCCGTCCCCGGCGTGTGACGTCACCGGAAAGCGCGCAGGTGACGCCAAGCGGACCCGCCCCCTTGCGCTGGGCGCCGGAAGCGAGGCGGAAGTGGCCGCGCACCCGCTTCCGGGCCCAGACGCCATTTCCAGCGGCGGCGGCGGCTTCTCACAGCTTGCGGCGCGCGGGGACCATGAGCTTCGACTACCACCAGAGCTGGGGCCGCGAAGGGGGTACCCGCGGCTCGGGCGGCGGCCACGGAGGCGGCCGCGGCCCGGGCGGAGGGCGGGGCGGCGGCGGGAGAGGCGGCCGCGGCCCGCACCCCGGGCACCTGAAAGGCCGCGAGATCGGCCTGTGGTACGCGAAGAAGCAGATGCAGAGGAACCGGGAAGCCGAGCGGCAGGAGGTAACGGGGGCGGCGCGGGGTGGGGCCCGCGGGCCGCGGCCTCGGTCCCGGCCCGCTGCCTTGGCCATGCCCGTGCTTTGTGAGGCGCGAGCCGGCGCGCGCGGCGCGAGTGCCCGGATGTGCGCGGGCCCGGAAGTGCGCGCTCCCCCGCTCAGTGCTTGTGGGAGCCGGGAGCGGAGGCGGTACTCGGGTTCCCACCGCCGGCTCCGCCCTCCCCGCGGGGTGCGGTCGGGTGGGTTTTGATCTCCGCGTTGACAGAGATTGGCGCCGCAGTCCCGCGTGATGAGTTCCGACTCCGCTTCACCCTTCGCCTTTGGACCAGGCCCGGTGGGATGGGAGGTTCCCCCCGGACACCGTGCCCCTGGAGAGGAAGCGGCGTTGGGACGCGACTCGGGGAGTCTGCGGGGCCTGGTCGGGCTGACCCGCGTCTTGCAAATCCGTAGTTGAGGACGCAGCAGTCCGAGGCCCATGCGGACCAATGGTAGCATTAAACAGGCCCTCGGTGCGGCCTTATGCCGCTCTGAAGCCACCCGGAGAGCACTCGGGACAGTGGAGACCAAGCGCAGTTTTCTAGTTCAACTCTCCTTAAACCACGTGATTTTCGGTCACGTCTCCATGTTCATGGAAGCCATTGGAGACCTTTTTAAGTTTGTCTTCAGTTGGTCAGATTCTCTTTGCAAAGCAGGGGAGGCGGCGGCGGGGGGGGGGGGGTGCCGAGGCGTGGGGGTCTCTCTCCAGTACCCATGTGCAAATAGATATTTGACCAGCCCCCAGTTAACTTGTCCTATAAAAAACATGGCTTGAAAGTCTGGGTAGGCACATCTAATTGTTACTGAAGGGGCTGGGGAAGGTGGCTCAGTGGTAGAGCGCTTGCCTTGCATGCATGAGGCCCTGGGTTCGATTCCTCAGCACCACATAAGCAAAAAGAAAAAAGCCAAAAGTGGTGCTGTGGCTCAAGTGGTAGAGCACTAGCCTTGAGCTAAAGAGCTGAGGGACTGCGCTCAGGCCCAGAGGTCAGACCCCACGACCGGACTAAAAAAAAAAATGTTACTGAAATTAGAGGAGTACTTGTGTCATAGCTGAAAGGATGTACACCGTAATCTTATCCACGTCTTTCCTCGCCCTGTTTTAAGCAGCGCTGTGTGCAGGTCGCTGTAGGAATCTGAAGTGGGATATTCGGAGTGTACGGTCCAGCTGGGAAAAGACTGGAACAGATGGAGTGTTAAGTCAAGATGCTCATTGCTTTCGCATAATAAGCCCTAGATAGTATGAACACAGCAAGATCTCAGCCTGCATCCCCAAACCTCCATTTCAGTAAACGTTGCTACCATCTATTCACTCGGCCACATGTGATAAAATCTTGACTGCTTTTTCATTTAAGTAAATCTGTTCGGCTTTCTGAATACTTCCCAAATCCAAACATTTATCTCTGCAGAAATTGTCACAGAACAAGCTAGTGTTGTTTTGTGTTTAACAGCCTTTCTGACTAGTTTTTAACTTCCACTCCTGCATTCATTCCATTTTCTCTGTCATTTATATAGAGCTACACACATTGTAATCTTTTAAAAAGGAGAAATTAGATCATTTGATTCCTGACCTCATACTTGAGATTTGGAACTATGTCATTTCTTTTTATCACTTTACCTGTTTACTTATTATCTATTATTTATTTTGCTTGTCCTGGGGCTTGAACTCAGGGTCTGGGCACTATCCCTGAGCTTCTTTGTGCCCAAGGCTAGTGCTCTATCACTTGAACCACAGTGCTACTTTTAGCTTTTTCTGAGTAGTTTATTGGAGATAAGAGTCTTATGTATTTTTCTGCCTGGACTGGCTTCAAACCACTATCCTCAGATCTCAGCCTCCTGAGTAACTATGATTATAGAACACTGGTTCCCAGCTCTTATTTTTATTGGAAGTGACATTTGACCTTAGGGCCTTTTGCTGGTTTGGCAAGGTACTGTGCCTCTGAGCTGCCATATTTTTTGCATTACTTATTTTTGAGATAGGTTCTAGCATCCTACAAGGGTGTGCACAGTCCACCTTCTTTAGACTTCCTGTTATAGCTGCCATGAAGAGGGCACCTCCAGGCCTACCTTTTCCCTTTGAAGTGGAGTCCTGAATTTTTTTTCACCTGGGCTTCTCTGGAACTGATGTTCTCCCGATCTCAGAATCTTACGACCTTTGGATGGCTGGTATGTGCCACCATACTTAGCTGTTAGTTGAAGGGGGTCTCATGTGCTTTGTCTTAGATGGCTTCTACTCTGATCCTCTAAATCTCACCCCTGAGTAGCAGCTAGATGACCACTGTGAGCCACCCCTTCCTGGCTTATGTCTCATCTTAACACATTATGGTGTTACCTTGCCTTGTTTTGGGGGAGTTTTGGTAATCTGGTTTCAGCACAGAAGGTTTTCCTTTATGGACTTTTCCCAAATCTGATGTCACCTTTGTAAACATACTTTATTTTTGCTTTTGATTGAGTCACATCATTTGGCTGTCTGACATGAATCTATCCATCATTAAATAGGAAAAATTTTCTTTGTCTTATTCTCTTATCTCTTCCCTTGACTCCTTTTTAGCTTGGTAGGCTTATGTCTCAATCCATTTCCATAGATTTTACTTTAGAAATAATCTTGGTGTTTACAAAATGAATTCCAATGATAGATAGCATTCTTTCAGCAAATAATTTATGGAGAATAGTAGCTTATGTATTGTAAGATAGCTAGGTACCCACTTTACAGAGACATTGGATGTTTGGGTCTGTATCCAGAATGCAATGTTAAAACAGGATAAAGGGAATAAAGACTGCCACTAATTAAGTGATTTATTTTTCTTTTTGTCAGTTGTGGGGCTTGAACTCAGGGCCTCGGTGCTGTCCTGAGCATTTTTGCTCAAGGCTAGCACTCTACCACTTTGAGCCACAGCTCTACTTTGGGTTTTCCAGTAGTTAAATTGGAGATAAGAGTTTCATGGATCTTCCTGCCCAGCTAGGCTTTGAACTGAGATCCTTAGATCTCAGCCTCCTGAATAGCTACCATTACAGGCATGAGCTACCAGTACCCAGCAGATGAAGAGATTTTTATTGAAAAGGATTTTGGAGAGGGCTTCTTGTTAAAACTGAAGCTTGAAAAACAGCAAAATAACATTTTGGTCTGAGTATGTTGGAGTTCTGGGTTTGGACTTTTTTTTTTTCAGGCAAGCAGAAGCCCAGGACACCACAGATGTGGTAGAGTAGATTCTAGGGACTGGAAGATGAAAGCAGGTGTGGAGTTTTGTGAGACCAGAGTAGTAGACCACTTTGGACATGAAGGGATACATTGTTTTCTTTGCACCCTATTTATCAAACAATACATAACTACCTGTACATTACTATGAGGTGGGTTATTTGTTTTCTTGTTATTCTCCTTTTCTGTTCTTTTGTTAATGCAGGCTGTGAACCCTGTATTTTCACAATAACAATAGCTCTGGTAGAAAAATAATTAGAGCCTTGAAATTAACAACTTTCCCCAAGAAACTTAGCAAGCCATTGAAGCATAGACAAAGAAGTCGTGGGACAGGCCAGTTCAAAAGAGTCCTGTTATTGAGAAATGGCAGCTTGTGTTGAGTTGCTGGCAGTAGAGATGGCAGAAAGTAGGCAGATAAAAGTAGACTCAAAGTAATTTAAGGATTGGTTTTGTCTGGGGATTTGAGGCTAGCAGGTCTTAAGAGGTGACACTTTGATGGGCATATAAAGATCATGTTTGTCAGGGGAGGATGCTGGGTTCAGCAAAGAACACTGAGTTCAGTAGTGTTACTGGGCATGCACGTGAGGATTTCAGGATGGATCTGATATCCAGAGAAAGGTCACAAGAGCTGAGCATTGGCAGTATGGGTCCTGGTTTGTCTCTTCTGAGAATGGACTCAGGCCTGAGCTCTGTAGAACATTGCTGTTCTAAATAGAATATGTATAGGAGCCCCCAGCCCAAGGTAAAACAGAGAGCTGGGATTTTCAAGTACTGGGCCTAGCAACCTCATTTGCCCTCCACTACTACCACTCACGTACACAGATGCACAGGGATACATGGCTTCTACCGCTGCCACTCATGTACTCAGACACAGGGACATGCATATGCATAGCCTCCTGCACTACCACTCATGTACACAGATGCACAGGGACATGCACAATCTCCACTACCACTCACGTACACAGATGCACAGAGACATACACAGCCTCCACTGCTACCACTCACGTACACAGATGGACAGAGACACGCACAACCTCCACTGCTACCACTCATGAACACAGACACAGGGACATGCACAGTCTCTACCATTACCACTTATGTACACAGATGCACAGGAACATGCACAACGTCTACCACTGCCACTCATGTACACAGATGCACAGGGACATGCACAGCTTCCACTGCTACCACTCACGTACACAGATGCACAGGGACATGCACAATCTCCACCACTACCACTCATGTACACAGACACACAGGGACATGCATGACCTCTGCGACCACTCATGTACACAGACACAGGGACACGCATGGCCTCCTCCTGGTGACCTTGCTGGTCTTCTCTCAGCCTGCTAGGTCCTGTGTTCAGGACAACTGTTTTGCTTTGGTCTTTTTTTTACTGCTTTCACCTTTTTCCCTCTGCACTTCTTTAATCTGTAGACTAATTGTTACCATTCCCCTTGTGCCTCTCATTGCCTGTGGATTCAAACACACATTAAGTCTGGATCATAAAGAGCCTGAGAATTTTATTGGCCCTTCATGTTGGAACAATATTTTTAAACTTTCTGTATCTAAAAAAAACAAAAGTCTCTAAGAAGTGGTTTTGTCATTCTTTTTTTTGGCCTGTAGTTGTATCTTGTAGGTACATATGATTTAAAGTTCCTAAAAGTTTTCCTGGCTCCCTAAGGATCTTGAAGTGGTATCTGAGGGTGTTGGCCTGTTCCGTGGCCACAGGTTTAGTGGATGCCTCACTGCTCTCTGGTGGCCTGCTTTGTGTACTTGAGATCAATCGTCTTCCCAACTGCTACTTGTGTGTAAGACTTTCAAATGATCATGGCCACCAAGTGTCCACTCAAGGCTAGTGGCTCACCCCTGTAATCCTAACTACTCAGGAGGCTGAGATCTGAAGATTGCAGTTCAAAGCCAAGCAGTCCAAGCAGGAAAGGCTGTGAGACTCTTATCTCAAATTAACTACCAGAAGTGGAGCTGTGGCTCAAAGTGATAGAGTGGTAGCCTGGTGGCCTTGAGTGAAAGAGTTCAGGGACAGTGCCCAGGCTCTGAATTCAAGCCCCCCTCCTCCCCCCTCCCTCTGCCTTCCTCTTCCCCCTCCAAAAAAAAACCTCAAGTCTTACAGGAGAACATATATAATAGTACTTGAGAGCAGCAATAATGGAAGTTGTAAGAGGCAAATAAGCTTTACTGTCTTTATAGATCCCTGATGGGAAAAAAAATCTAGAAGGAGATATACAAATGGTAATGTTAATTAGGTTTAGAATGTGGAACTGGGATAATGGGAAATTTTATCTTTTATACATGTACAGTCAAGATATATCTCTTTATTTTTCCTTGTAGTTATCATATACTTTTATGGATGCTTATGCTGATGAAGATCCTTTTTCTTTTGTACTGTAGAGAGCTGTAGTGCATATGGATGAAAGACGAGAAGAGCAAATCGTGCAGCTGCTGAACTCTGTCCAAGCTAAGAGTGATAAAGACCCTGAAGCTCAGATTTCCTGGTTTGCTCCTGAGGATCATGGGTAAAACAGCAACAAAAACTGTTCTTTTAAGGAATAGGCAAAGAATAATACCTCTTATAGCATTGGCAAGAAAAATAGTTATAAGAAAAATACCATGATTATTAGGTTTTCCAGTGAATGAAAGTCAGTCTTGCCGGAGAAAAAATAAGAAGAGTTTAGACTGCATGCAGTCTGTGTAGGTATGAGATGTATGTTACTTGTATTTCGTATTCACCATTTTTGGTATTTCTGAAATTGTGGTGGGAAGGGTTTCATAGTTGAATTGTGCTGTTTTAGTAAGGTTACTAGAACTATATCTTGTATAGGAAAAAATTAGCAGTATTTCAGGCACTATATAATGTGGTGTCTTATTTATAGCTAAGAAAAGAATATCTGGAAGAAAAGATGTGAAATCTCACAAAATCAGAAAAAGAGAAAACACTGGACAGCTGCAATAGGGGAATGACTGTTGGGTTTTTATTTTATAAACCAACCCAAGGATGTATGGCAATATTTGTGTATGAGGAAGGAAAAATTTGGCTCTCTTCTAAGAATATACATGCTTCATAGCTGCTTGGAGGAGCAGAGAATATAAGCTCTCCCTGGGCTGGTTTTCAAATACTTAGACAGGTAGTGGTTTGTTTTGGGGTTGAGTGGCTCTCACCTTTTTTCACTTTTAATATTGTCAAACTAGATATGGTGCTGAAGTTTCTGCTGAGAAAAAAACAAACTCAGAGAAGAAAGTTGACAAACAGGAAAAGAAATTGATGAGCCAAGAAAAAAAGATACTTAGAATTAGGGATAAATCCATCTTTGAACGAGATTCTGAGTATCTTTTGCAAGAAAATGAACCAGATGCAACCTTAGACCAAAAATTACTGGAAGATTTACAAAAGAAGAAAAGTGACGCTCGGTATATTGAGATGCAGGTAACAGAAAACTAGATCATTCACTACTTGTATGTGAGGGCTGAGCAGGTATATTGATGTATAGAGTTCCATTAAAATTTTCAAAATTAGTAGAAATCTGTTATAGAAATAAAGGAGTTAGTCCCTTTGTAATATTCTAGTTTAACTCATTGTAATGTCAATTGCTTAGTATCTGGTTTATGTCATAAAGTGTTACATGCTTTTTAAATGAAGGTTTTTTTCATTGATGGAAGAATCTTTGAAGCCTTTGTGCTTGAGTCTGGCTTCCTTGACATTGCAGTTGTGAAATGAGTTCTGGGTATTGAGCTTTCCCTTAAACTCTCCCAGGCAAGCACCCTAAAATTGTCTTCAGTCTTGATCCTGTGCCTGCTGCACCAGGAAATGGTACACTGATCAGTGGGGAGAGGAATGTGATGAAGATATCAAGTCTAGGGGACATACAAAACACATTCAAGAGTGATAAAGTAGTGTTGTATCACTGTTAGATGATAGTTCAGATTTCACTTCTAACTTTGAAGAAGAGTTTCTATTAGATATGATGGAACTGTATAAATATTTCAAAAATGTGATTGTTTTTTGTAAGGTTTTTTAAAAGTCTGATACGTTACATATTCCTTATGGTAATGAAAATACTTTTGGATTCTAGAACATTTAATATATCCTTTGATTGTCATTATTATAATCTGATTCCATTTATTTTGTGAAAGTTGAAAACTTCCTTTTAAATTTCAGCGTTTCAGAGAAAAGCTGCCTTCCTATGGAATGCAGAAGGTAAGTTGTTTGTACTTGTTAGCTTGATGTGCAAAATAGAGCACTTTCTAGGAGAGCTCTGTGCCAGGAAAAAAAAGTAGATGTTAATGAACCTTAAACGGAAGTCACTCTTAATTTTTTTTAGTGGTTTTGGGGTAAAATAAAAAAAAAATAAAACAGTCATAAAACAGTTATCTGGAAGATTTCCGTAATTTAAATCTTTAGAGTTTAGAAATAGAACTTTCTTACATGATAACATGAATACTTTGCTCTTAATTCACAATTGAACACTTGATGAAAATCAAAACGCTGCTAAGCTGTAGCACTTGAATTTATTAGTGACCCTTTATCGTAGTTATTATATAGAATAATGTCCTCTGTGCTGCTCGGTCCTCCCAGTCTTATTTATTTTATTTTTCTTTGCTTTTCATAGCACACTTATTGCCACCTGACATCTGTGTCTTCCCCTCATAGTCCAGTGTAAGTTCTCGCGGACAGGGTGTTTTGTTCTTTTTCTGTCTCTTGAATCAGCAGTACCTGGTGTTACATAGACATCAGTAAATATTTGTGAGTGAATGCATTCTGCTTTGTAGCACAGCCATGCCCTGGTGTCCTTGCAAGGCTGGCTCTAAAATCTCTTAAGTGAAATGAGTAGTGTTTGTGTGACGCCCAGAATAGCCTCTTGCAGTCTTCAGGTCATCGTTGTTTTATTTGTACAGAAGTGCTTAGGAAATGATAACAAAAAGGGGTTGTATCCCTACAGGTATTGGTTCATTGCTTCAAACTTGGTATGGAGGGCCAACTGCATGTACTGGCCATAGTGTCCGTGTTCCCACTGAAACTTCTTGGCACATACTTTGTTAAATGGATGAAAATTTCCTTTGTGTGTGTGCCAATCCTGAGGCTTAAACTAAGAGCCTGGCCACTGTCCCCGAGCTTCTTTTGCTTAAGGCTAGCACTCTGCCACTTGAGCCACAGCACCACTTCTGGCATTTCTTGTTTATGTAATAACTGAGGAAATGAACCCAGGGCTTCATGCATGCTAGGCAAGCACTCTTTTGCTAAGCCACCTTCCCAGCCCTGAAGTAATCTTGAAAGCAGGTAACGGTTGAGTTTCTCCTTGTTGAAACAGTTCAAAACTTGTCCAGCAGCAAAGCCGAATCTATGAAACATGTAATGACTAGTGACGCGCAGAAGCTGCTCAGGCTGAGGATTTGTCTTCTGTCCCAGCGTCTCAGGTCTCAACATATTTTCTAGTTTTGCATTAATAGATTGACAGAACACAGGTTTCAACACTGTTGTTTCGAGTTAATATAACTGACCGCACAGGGGGTATCATCCTGGTCTTTTCAGGGCATTTTTCTTCAGCAGTATCTTAGTTCTGTGTTTCATAACTTCCTTATGTGAAGTAAATACTTAACTATTGAAAAGTGGTAGAGCTAGATATACAGCTGCCACCTATCATTGGATAGAACTCTGATTAGCACCTTTTATGACATAGTCAACGTGATATCTTTTGCTTATTTTAGGAGTTGGTGACTTTGATTGATAAGCATCAGGTAACCGTGATAAGTGGTGAAACTGGTTGTGGCAAAACCACCCAGGTCACTCAGTTCATCTTGGACAGCTACATTGAGCGGGGCATGGGCTCTGCGTGCAGGATTGTCTGTACCCAGCCACGGAGGATCAGCGCCATCTCTGTGAGTGAGCCTGCACTCTCCATGCCCCCTCCCTGGAAGGGGTTTCACTAGAGCGTACTCACTTTTAACATTTGGAACAAGTCTTAATGAGGGTTCGGATTTGTTCCTGTGTGAGCAAATAATTTGATAGTAAAGATCAAAAGATTGGAGTGTCATCTCTCACAGATTAACTTGAAAAATGTCAATGTAAATCCAAAAACAATGAAAAGTGAATATAAAAATGCTCATATTATTAATGACAAGCTCTAAATAATCTTAATCAGTAGATGCTTTAAATTCTGCTACCTTAGACTGAATGTGGTGGTGCATACTTGAAATCCCAACTCCACAGAGATTGGAAAGATTGTGGTTTGAAACCAGCCTGGCCATATGGTTAGTGATACTAGTTGTCAGCACAACAAGCTGGGCATGGTGGTGCGTGTCTATACTCCGAGCTGCGTGGGACTCATCGGTAGGATGCTGACCAGAGCTGGGCCAGGGAATAAGCTGAAACAACCTGAAAAATAGTAAAGCACAAAGGATGAGGAGTTTAGAGAGCATGCTTTGAAAGCAGGGCTTCCTAGGTTCTAACCCCAGTACCACCAAACAGGAAAAAGTGTTTTGCCATTTGGCTTATTATTTTCATGTCTTTGATTTTCAACACATAATATACTGGGTGGAGCAAAGTGAGAATCCTTTCCTTTATTTATGAAAGGTACATTTTTATCCCCAGCAATAAAAAAAAACTCGAGCTGTGCAATAAGATTGCTTTTTTTTCCCCCCTCTAACACCAGGGCTTGAACTCTGATTTTTACACTCACTTGACTTGCTTGCTCACAGCTGGCACACCTTCTGTTGGTTAATTGGAAATGAAGTCTCAAGGACTTCTATATTAACTAGCTCTGAACTTCAGTCTTCCATATCTCAGCCTCCTAAACAGCTGGGATTACAGGTGTGAGCCACTAGATCTTGATTTCAGAAGTCTATTATAACAAAAACTAGACCATTGTTTATTTAAAATGACCAGCATAGCTGATTAGTGTTAATCCAAAATTTCAAAAGAAAGGCATAAGTACATGTTGCACAAATAACCTTTTGATGGCCTTTTTGATACTTTAAAGTTTTCTAGTTTAATTGTAAGTTTCATACTGTAAAAATGTTTGAGGTTTTTTAGGATACTCTGTGAATTTATAAGTTTTTCATAATTCCATGTGCATATAAATTATGAAGATTTTTGGTTGTTCTTATTTTTGTTTATTTTTTGCTGGTCCCGGGGCTTGAAGTCAGGACCTGGGCACTCTCCCTGAGCTTTGTGCCCAAGGTTAGCACTCTACCACTTAAACCACAGTGCCACTTCCAGCTTTTTCTCAGTAGTTTATTGGAGATAAGAGTCTCACAGGCTTTATTGTCCAGGCTGGCCTCAAATTGTGATCCTCAGATCTCAGCCCCCTGAGTAGCTAGGAGTATAGACCTAAGCCACCTGGCTAGTTATTTTATTCTAGTAATTGAGTATAGAATTTGTGGCTAGGAACTCCATTACTGATTATGGCAATAGACAGTATGCATTTTAAGCTATGCACAGTGTACATTAAGTAAACTAACAATCTAACCATTGTTTGGGGGAGTCATGTACCTATAAAACACACAAGACCATAGAAAGGTGAAAATTGTCAATAAGCAACTATATAGCTACATAAATACTTTCATTGGTGGTATGTGTGTGTCAATCATGTATTGATAGTGAAAGAATGCTATATAGATTGTTGTGATATTTTTTTTATGATGAGGTGGATTATAATGGTACATACTTGTCCTTCCAGGTTTCAGGAAAGTATGTCAGTCCAGGCAGAGTTAGTAGAGCCTGTCTCCAGAGCAGAATGTGAACTAAAGGGCTAGGGCTGGTCCCAATGGTAGCTAATGTGAGGCTCAGGGTTCAATTGACAGTATTTCAGGAGGGAAAAAAATGAAAGAAGAAAGTTCACACAGTTTGAGATATCTTAGATTTTAATAAGTATCTCTTACTTTTTAAACTCTCTGAAAATCAGAACTTGCATTTCAGCAATTCAGGATTTTCATGAATATTCAGAATATTTGGCCTAAACAAGTTTATATTCATGTTTCATTGGAATTTCAGGTTGCAGAGCGAGTGGCTGCTGAGAGGGCAGAGTCCTGTGGCAATGGTAATAGCACTGGATACCAGATTCGTCTCCAGAGGTAAAGAACACCAGCTCCTGTAGACTGCACAGTCTATAGAAGTTTCTGCACAGGAGCACCCCCTGTTCTCACTTTGATTGTTGATCTACAGTTAACCCTTACAAAAGCTGTACTGTAGGGAGAGAACTTGCTTCCACAAATGCATACCATAACCTTTGCCCTTTTGATGACTAGAAAGGTTTCCTCTTTTTTGGGGGGGGAGGGGGTCTGGTCATGGGGCACGAACTCTAGGCCTGGGCGCTGTCCCTCAGCATTTCAGCTCAAGGCTAGAGCTCTACCACTCGAGCCACAGTGCTACTTCTGGTTTTTTTTTTTTTGCTTATGTGGTGCTGAGAAATCAAACTCAGGGCCTCATGCATGCAAAGCAAGCGCTCTACCACTGAGCCACCTTCTCACCCCAAGGTTTCCTCTTATAGAAGGTGGTGTTCAGGATTTCTTGTTACCACCCTGATTGGTTTTGTTGTCTTTCTCCCTCCATCCAGAAATAACATTCCCAAATGTATTTGTACTTCTTCAGTAAATACTACTTTTTTTTCTGTGTTTGTGCTGGTCCTGGGGTTGATTTCAGGGACTAGATGTTGTCCTTGAGCTTTTGTACTCAAGGCTAGAGCTCCACCTCTTGAGTCATAGCCCACTTCTGGATTTTTTGATAGTTATTTGGAGATGAGAGTCTCACAGGCTTTCCTGCAAAGGCTGGATTTGAACTGCCATCCTCAGATCTAAGCCTACTGAGTAGCTAGGATTATAAGCATGAACCATCAGTGCCCAACAATATTATTGTTTTGTGTGTTTTAATGGCACTGTCTAAATTCTTTTGTTACATGGTCCCTCAAAATCATGTGTTAAAGAGCTAGCCACACTGGGTTATGACATCCATGTAAGAGGAGGAAATTTCTGGGTCATAGGGAAAGCAGTTCTAAGAGTACAGTACAGAAACAGTGTTCTGAGAACAAAAAGATTCTTGCAACTTGTGAGGTCTCTTGTATAATTCCTTAGTTCTTGAGCTCAAGATCCCTCTTACTTAAACCAACAGACTTCGCAGTCACCAAACCAGAAGGTTAGAGCTTAGAAGTAGTGTATGTTTTCTCTGAATGTTCTTGGTTGTACCTTCCAGAAGAAACCATTGTCCTTGTGTCGTGATGGAATGACTACAGTATATAAAGAAACATCCCATTACTCCATTCTGTAGGTGGATGGTGTTACAACTTAAAAAGAAAGTGTGAAGGTTCTTCAGTAAATTATTAGGAAAGAAAACTAAAAACCTCCTATCTTTCATTCACAGTCGGTTGCCGAGAAAGCAGGGTTCCATCTTGTATTGTACCACAGGAATCATCCTGCAGTGGCTCCAGTCAGACTCGTGAGTATGTTTCAACTGAAGAATTCCCACACTATCCAGAGATGCCATTATTAAACAGAATCCTGCTAGTTTCAGGTTTATATTCTGGCTTAAAAACTTCACACTTCTCTTTCAGGCTTTTGTCCAGTGTTAGTCATATTGTACTTGATGAAATTCATGAAAGAAATCTGCAGTCAGACGTTTTAATGACTGTTGTTAAAGACGTTCTTAATTACCGATCTGACCTAAAAGTCATTTTGATGAGTGCAACATTGAATGCTGAGAAGTTCTCAGAATATTTTGGTGAGTAAAAACTGCACTATAGGGACTGGGAAGGGGGGCTCAGTGGTAGAGTGCTTGCCTAGCATGCATGAGGCCCTGAGTTCGATTCCTCTGCACCACATAAACAGAAAAGGCTGGAAGGGGTGCTGTGGCTCTAGTGGTAGAGCGCTAGCCTTGATCTGAAGAGCTGAGGGACAGTGCCCAGGTCCAGAGGTCAGGCCCCATGATCGACAAAAACAAAACATGGTACTACTCAGAAAAAGCAAAAGAAAACTTTCTGGAAAACTGATAGGATACTCAGCGTAGGTGAGTCCAAAGAAGTGATTAGTAGTTGATTTTACTTCAATAGTACCTTGCCCACTAGTTTCCAGGGTTAGAGAACTGGGTTTTTTAATAGCTTCACCTTTGTCTCACAGTAGATAGGGGTGTCAGGTTATTCTTGGTGAAGCCACGAGGTAGTGAAGTGGGGCCACAGAAGTCAGAGTGACCTTGGATGAACCTCTGAGATTCCCTGTGGCTTTTTGTACTGTGGTCACAAGCAAGGCTGGCAGTGTGCTGCCAGTACTGCTGGTGATCAGGTAGGAAACTGTGCCAACTGTGCTGGGGAAGGGTGTTTGCCACTGTCTGCATTCATTCTTGGAATGCCTGGCCAGGGAGGTCTTCTCCTTACCTGTCACCATGAGAAAGCAGCCTGGTGACTTACACAGGAGGAGAGATGATTCCTGTCTTCGTGGTTCTAGTTTCAGTGATAAAAGTGGGGAAAGAGGAAGGAAAGGATTAACATAGAATACAAGTATATGTTAATGATCTAATTTTTGGCTTTTCAAAAGTGTCTCAGTTAATCCTTATGAGATTATGAGATGAGTTGAGACAGGTGTCCCATCCTTTTTAATGAGCCCTCCAGAACTAGCATGGGGATTTATACAGATCAGTTTTACACAGATCATCATATTTATGCAGAGGCAAAGTTGTGGTACTAGCTCAGGCATTTTGACCCAATGCTGTATTGTGTTTGTGTTGTGTGCTGCTTAAAAAAGTTTAAGGTAAAGTTAAATAAAGTTTAGATGAAAGATGCTGAGGCAGCCATATTTAGTTAAAGTAGTAGTAATTTAAGATTTGTTTGGGTCTTGTTTTGACCCGTTTTCCCCTGTGGGCTATGCACGAATGACACGCTTGATTCAGGTGTTCATTGTCATGGCAGCAGATGGAAGAAGGAGACTTGTGATGGTTTTCTGAGTCTAACATAAAGTTGCTGCATTCTTTGACGTTCTGTGCTGTGTAAAACAATGAGATGTGTGTGTGGTTCAGAAGTAAAAATCCTAAGTTAGGCAAGGCTGCTGATTTGTATTGCACTAGATAAGGAACAGTGGAGATAATGCTGCTGTTCATTATGCTGTTGATGGTGTGTTGATTTCTCCTTTGTCACCAGAGGTAACTGCAATGGTTTCTTCTTTATCACCATAGGAAACTGTCCAATGATACACATTCCTGGTTTCACTTTCCCGGTTGTGGAATACCTTCTGGAGGATATCATTGAAAAAATAAGGTAAAAAGATTGGGAAATTAAAGAAATGAGGAAGTAATGGCATGTCACCTTTGTCGTCAGAAAGTCCCAACCTGAGTGTTGACCTTTTCCTTCATTATTTTTCTATGTATTGGCTTTATGTTAAAGTTACCTCCAGTTTCAAAATTCCATTTCTTCACTTATACTCTATATTTTAACTGCTTTACAAAGTTGTGTTAGTAACCAAGAATCAGGTTTTTGTTGTTTGTTTGCTAGTTTGTTTTGAATGAATGTTTGAGATTAAACTTAGGACCTTAATAGCCACAGTTCCAGTTTTTCTGTTTTTCACATAGGGTTTTTTGCTTGAGTCCAAGCTAGCCTAAGACCCAACATCCCTCTACCTCTACCTGCCGAGTAGCTAGGATTTCACGGTACATGGCTATTTCCAGCTTTTTACCCAGGCCATCTTCAAACCTTATTTCTCCTCTTTCTGTCTCTTGAGTAGCTAGGATTATAAGTGTAAACAACCATGCCTGGCAGGAGACATGTTTTTTTTTTTTTTAAGGATACTTGAATAGGAAAGTTTGGGATCTGTCTTGGGTGCTCATACCTCTCGTTTGGCTGTCCTGCCTCATCTTCATTCTCTCTTGTTGGCTTTCATTGCCCCCCTAGAATTTTCATTCTTTTCTCCATTTTCACCTGTTTTATGTTTTTCTTGTGACCTTGGTTCTGTTTCACAGCTCCTTAGTGCTGTGGTTTTAAGATGAATTCTGCTGAGTAGGGTGGCTCAGTCCTCTAATTCATAGTTAATTGGGAGATGGCGATGAGGTTAGTGAGTTAGGATTTGAGGCCAACCGAGGAGTGCTCATCTTCCAAGTTTACAAAACTCCATCTCAGCCAGTGGCCGAGCCTGTCATCCCAGGGACGAGGAGCCATGGAGTGACAGGCACAGTGGTGTGAGCCTGTCATCCCAGGGACAAGGAGCCATGGAATGACAGGTACAGTGGTGTGAGCCTGTCATCCTAGGGACAGTTGAGCCATGCAGTGACAGGCACAGTGGTGTGAGCCTGTCATCCTAGGGACAGTTGAGCCGTGCAGTGAAGGGTACAGTGGTGTGAGCCTGTCACCCCAGGGACAGTGAGCTGTACTGTGACAGGCACAGTGGTGAGAGAAGTACTCAGGCACGGTGGGCCTCACGTGCACTCCCCCACTCTACCACCCTGCCTGACTGCTATAACAACCCTTCCCTTCCACTGTGAGGTCTGAGAAGCTAGGGCGAGGAAGACAGAGGGGCAGAGGAGAGACAAAGGAGAAGAAAGCTGCTTGAACTGTGAAGCTTCTCGGTATCTGGAAGACCGGGCAGAGAACAAAGAGTAGGCAGAGGGCGGGAGTGTAGGGCAGGATGGTCTGGAGAATGGGCAGAGGGGAGGTTTTGGGCAGGATAGTCTGGCAGGTGTGCCTAGGGCTAAGGTGATGGAGGTTACTTCTGGTGTATGGTGATGTGTGAGCTCTCTCTCTGTCTCTCTCTCTCTCTCTCATTACTCCTGAGCTTGGTACCTTAGTGCTAGGGGAATGAGTAAGAGGGACTGACACTTTGTGGTGTCTTCTGTGTATCAGGCACTGTTGCTACTGCTTGTTATTGCTAGAAGAGCATTAATCACTCAGAATCACCAAAGGCTAGAAGTTGAACATTCATGTGGGTCGCACAGCCAGCCACTGGTATAGCTTGGGACATCCATCTGGCTCCAAAGCTCATGCTCCACCCCCACTGCCCATTCTCTGCCTGTTTCCCGCCCAGTCTCCCAGATGCTGAGGGGCTTCACGGTTCAAGCGGCTTCCTTTTCCTTTGCCTCTCCTCTGCCCACCTCTGTCTCCCCTGCCCCAGCTTCGCAGACCTCACTGTGGAAGGGAAGGGTTCTTACAGCAGTCAGGGAGGGTGGTGGAGGCCTGAGATGAGGGTACTGATTGTTATCTCCATTTGCTCTGATGGATGGACCTGTGAGCAGAAGGATGGTGTTTCAGCCTGTGTCTCTAGGTCTGCAGCAGCACTGCATCTCCTGCATCGCTAGTAAGCGATCAAAAGTGAGCGAGAAATGCTGCCTCAGAGATTCTCATCTGCATTAAAATGCAGGTTTGGACAACTCCTGTTTGTAAAGTCTGAGTCTTTCTAGTAGGCAGGCATTAACTATCACTTTGGATTTAAATTAATACTTTTGCTTTAGAGCCTAAAGACGAAAATTACTATTTTTTAAATTTTTGCTGCCAAAGATGTTCTAAAAATTTATTATATATTTCAATAGAGAAATTACCTGAAATGTCAAGTTTTATGTACTAACAGAAACTTAGAAATAAGTTATTTTAACTACCATTCACTGGAAAGTATAGTAAAAGTATTCTTTTTAATCTTTCCTTCAAAATTCTTAAAGTGAACATATTTTTAAGAGCCTTGCTGGACAGGCTGGCACGTGCTGTGGCTCTAATCACTGCACTCAGGAGTGGAGGAAGCAACTTCGAGCAAAGTACTTTCTCAGTTTTTTTTTCCTTTTGCTTTATTTTAGATATGTGCCAGAGCAGAAAGAGCACAGATCCCAGTTTAAGAGGGGTTTCCTGCAAGGCCATGTAAATAGAAGAGAAAAAGAAGAAAAGGAAGCAATCTATAAGGAGCGCTGGCCAGACTATATACGAGAACTGAGAGGAAGGTAGGCCACATTCCAGGGTGAGAAACCATGGTTGAAATAGACACTGTTGCCTTCCCAGTTCTGAATGTTCTCAATAGTGTTGTGCATCTGATTTCACCCTAACACACCACATTATCCCTGTAATCCTTCCCTCTGTAGATTCTATTTCTTGGTTTAAACCCCAAACAAAATTACGGAGTATTTGCTGGTTTTCTGATTAACTTGGCAGGTATTCTCCAAGTACTATCAGTGTTTTGGAAATGATGGATGATGATAAAGTTGATCTGAATTTGATTGCTGCTCTGATTCGACACATTGTTTTGAAAGAAGAGGTGGGTTGTTGCTTTGCTTTCTATAGATAAGGCGATTTTACTTTTATTACTGTATTAAAGTTGTGGAAAAAATGTTTTTTAAACCTTTTTTAAAAAACACATTAAAAAAAGCGGGCTTGAGCCTGAGCTGGCCCATCTTCCTTAAAGTCTGCCTGATCACTTTCTGGCATGGCCACTTTAAAAAAAAACAAAAACAGGAATAGATTGTGAAAGAATGGTTTTTGTTTTAATACTGAAGTAGCCTCAGGATATTATTGTTATTTAGGCATTTTATATATTAACAACAAAAAAAAGACTAAACAGATGGAATCTCTGTGCTAAAACCTTACCTTTTTTTAAAGTGCTCTGTATTCTCTTAGGTGATATCCAAAATTAGCAGTTGGAGTGCCCCTTCATGAGTCTGGCGTCTATTATGTGGCCCTCTGAGCTGTTGTGGCCCTCTGTTATGTGGGCTTCTGAGCTGTCATGGCCCTTCATTACATGATCTTCAGAGCCGTTGTGGCCCTCTTTTATGTCATCCTCTGAGTTGGCCTGACACTCTGTATATGGTTCTCTGAGCTGGTGTGTCCCTCCATGAGTATTGTCCTTGGTGATAGTTATTTCCTCCCACGCAGGATGGAGCGATTCTAGTCTTCCTGCCTGGCTGGGACAACATCAGCAGTCTACATGATCTCCTGATGTCCCAGGTGATGTTTAAGTCAGGTACGTGTGAAGGTCTTGTACTGTGACCTTGGTGACCAGTAACTGAACCATATGTAGTACACGCTGCTCCTCTTCCTGCTCCCTTCATTTAACATGATGAAGTGTTACTTCTGCGGCTGCCTCAGTATAGGAATTGGGTGGGCTAAGCCCATCTATGGCTTTTCTGGAGGAGGGGGTCTTCTGTGAGCTCTTGAGTCCTACATGAACATGGGAGGTAGGTTCTAGAGTGTTTACTTAGCAGTGTGAAGCTACCATATCACAGTGTACCTCTTACCTTTGAAAACTTGCCTAGTAAAACTGAGCCTTGTTGGCTTTGATTTTTTTCATGTGTTTTACCCTTTAGTAGTTTAATAATGAGGCTAGAGTAAGTGATTCTGCTGATGTGATCTTAAAAGGTGGCCTGTTACTTGAGCACTCCTTAAGAATTTGGAGGAATTCAGTGTAAAACAAACAAAACTTTGTTTTTTTTTTAGAAAACCAAAACAAGTGGGGGGGAGGGGGAAAGCTGGGAAGGGAAGTGAAGGGTAAACAAAGGAGGAGGCTGCAATGCTTGGTAAGAAATGTATGCATTATCCTGCCCATGTAATTGTAACCCCTCTGTACAGTATGTTCTCAAATAAAATAAAATTAAAAAAAAGAAAACCAAAACAATTTTAAGTTCTGAATTGTGTATAGAAATGCAAATGAATGACTAGGGAGTTTAGCGAGTGTATTAATTGTCCATACCTGGTCAGGGAACTTTTCTCATCTATATCTTAAATGTTGTTTTTAATTTTCAGATAAGTTTCTTATTATCCCTCTACATTCACTAATGCCAACGGTAAACCAGACACAGGTATGTATTAGATTTGTTTTTTTTTTCCCAACTGAGCCTAGATTTAAGGATTGCCTATTGTATTTTTCTTTGTTTCTTTTTATTTCTTAATGAATATTTTCAAATAGGTATATAAAATGTACTTCTTAGAAAATCCTTGTGAGGCTATAGGATAATTGTATAAAAACTTAACTAGCAAATACTCCACAAGTCATGTTTTGTCAGCATTAGGGAAATGCATGAATAATTGCTTGCTTAGAGATATTGAATTAAAGAGAAAGATATGTGACTATCACTAAAACAATGTAACCCAGAATTTTTCTGTGACATTGGAATTTGATGTTAGAGATTGTGATTTACCACAATTAGTATATTATCAGGTGGTATTTGCTGCTTCATCGTTGATGCATTGTAAATATTTGGTTCTGTCAGTACACGATTTCCCTAATTAGCACAAGCATTTCAAGAAGGACAAACGTATCAGAAAAATCCACATTTCTTCCCTTTCAGTTTCTTCACTTTCGTTCCTATAGAAAAAGTTAGACGTTGTAATAATTGTTTTGCTGCACCTTGTTCCTAACAAAGACCCAGTCAGTTGAAAAAGATACAGAGTATGTTTGTAAGGGACCTTGTATCTTTGATCTAAACCCATATAGAAAGAGAGAGAGAGTCTTGAAACTTGAACTCAGAGCGTGGGCACTGTCCCTGAGTTTTTGGTGCAAGACTAGCACTCTACCATGTGAGCCATAGTTCTACTTCTGGCTTTTTGGTGGTAAATTGGAGAGAAGAGTCAAGATATGCTACATAATCAGTTTGTATGAATCTCATTTATGTTATTTATGTTAAAATTGTGCTGTGTCATCTTGGGAGATGCTTTATCCAAAGAAAATGTTAGAGTATTGACGTTGATGTATACTTTATAACTAATAATTAACAGATACATATGTCAACAAGTAAACACAATGCTAAAAGTGAATATTATCTGAAGTAATTAATAATTGTAATTGGGGACTTTGATGTATTTATTCTTACTACAGGTGTTTAAAAGAACTCCTCCTGGTGTTCGGAAAATAGTAATTGCTACCAATATTGCAGAGACTAGGTAAAAATGGTTATAAATATCAACTATTAATGATTACCCATTCATTAAAATATGACAGTCTGTCTTCTCTATGAGATGCTTCGTAATTTCTTTAAAATGTTTTCTTTTTTTTTAACTAGCCATGATAGTAAAACTTTTGTCCTTTTTTTTTTTTTTTTTTTTTACTGCTTTGGTCCACTTTGTCAATATGCCCTTTTAAATGCTTTCCAGAGCATTCCTAACTTATGTGGAAGCTGGGGTGTCTGCTAGTAGGGTGGAGTGATGTGCCTAGCTACTTATGAATCACAGTTTCCTTCCCTCGAGAGTGCCAATACGCAGTGCAATGTAGTCCCTGAAAGATTTTCTGGAAGCTGACAGTAAAGCCATGGCCCTTGGGTCCTGCAGGGCTAGATACCAAAAGGCATCAGGAGAACAAAGCATTTTGGCTATAGGCAAATGATCCTTTAGTAGGAGATTTTCGGTGAGCACCATACTTCTGCCCTTTGGGGTATAGGAAAACCTCTGAATTGCACAGATGCTGTGATCAGTAACTGTACTAGAACCCCACTGTGGGCCCACTGTAAGTGAGAAGTGCTTTTTATGTGTATTTAGTATTTTCTTTGTCTACTTTCTCAACAGCATCACCATTGATGACGTAGTGTATGTGATAGATGGAGGAAAAATTAAAGAAACACATTTTGACACTCAGAACAACATCAGCACGATGGCTGCCGAGTGGGTCAGTAAAGCAAATGCCAAACAGAGGAAAGGCCGCGCTGGCAGGTAGGGTGGGGACTGCACAGAGCCTGCAGAACACCTGGGGGGGGGGGGGGGGGGGAAGTAGCAAATCTGTCGCTATGACCTAATGATATTGTTTATTGGGAGCATTATTTTTCATACTTTGGTGAGCTTACCACACATTTTTAAATGGGAATTTAAAAAAAATTATGGGACTGAAATTAGAACATAGTAGGACTTGTTAGGCAAGTCTTCTATAGAACCCTTGAGCCATTCTTCCAGCTCGTTTGTTTTAGCCCTGGCTGGGCTGGATCAGAATCCTTCTATGTTTCCTTTGTAGCTGACTACCTGACTGAGATGGGAGCTCACTCATTGTTTTCCTGACCACCTTGAATGGTGGTCTTTTTCATCTCCACCACCTGAGTAGCTGGGATCACAGGTGTGAGCTACTGCATTGGGCTTCGGGTTTTGGTTTTTTTTTTTTTGAGACAGAGTCTCACTTTGTAACTCCAGCTTCCTTCAACTCTTGACCTCATGATCCTCTGGCCTCAGCCTACCAAGCACTAAGATGATAGACGTGTGGGACCACCGGGCTTGTCATTAATCTATCTGCCAAGCTTTCTACTTCACCAGTGCTTGCTTCACCTGTTTCATTAGTGCCAGCGTTCTTGGTGTCTTACATTACTATTCCTTCTTTGAAAATATGTATTGCCTAACAGTATTTGAGCATTGGCTTGTCTCCTGAAACTGTGAATTATCTTTGCTTAAGCCTTAGCACATGCTGTGAAGGGACCATGTTATCTCATTTAGGAGTCAGGAAACTAAGACATAAAGAAATGATAAGCAGGGCGCTGGTGGCTCACGCCTGTAATCTTAGCTACTCAGGAGGCTGAGATCTGAGGATCACAGTTCAAAGCCAGCCCGGGCAGGAAAGTCCGTGAGACTTTTATCTCCAATAAACCACTAGAAAACCGGAAGTGGTGGCTGTGGCTCAAGCAGTAGAGCACACACATTGAGCTGACGAGCTGTGAGACAGCACCCTAGCCCAGAGTTCAAGCCCCACGACTGACAAAGAAAAAAGAAAAAGAAATGGTAATATATCACATTTTATGGAAAGCTAAGAGTTTGCACATAAAGTGAGCAGATGGAAATGTTTATCAGTACACAGTACTAACATATATTACAATATCACACTGTGCTCTGTTATGTGAAATTATAAGTTAATTGAACAAAAAGTTGAAAAACTGGGTCACAGTAATTTTGAAGACATTGAGGTGGGATGTTCCTTTTCAAACAGGAAGAGAAGGAAATAGAATTATTTCGTTCAATCTCATAGAAATGAAGTGATTATATGTAATCATCATATGGCTTGTGAGACTAGATGCTCTTTAATTTCCTGTGCTACTTGTTTTCTGAGTTTCTGCACCGTGGGTCTTGGTGCTCATTGTTTCTGTCCTTTCATGTTGAAGAGTCCAGCCTGGTCACTGCTATCATCTGTATAATGGCCTTAGAGCCAGTCTTCTAGATGACTATCAGCTGCCAGAGATTCTAAGAACGCCCCTGGAAGAACTTTGTTTGCAAATAAAGGTAAATTAGGTGGGGAGGTTTAAAATCAGCATGGAATGGTGTTTGTATTTCTAACCTGTAGCCCTCTTACCACCAAAAATATCTGTTAATTTAAACATCTGTATATGTCTTATATAAATAACCCCATTTTGAAGACTATCAGTAATCAACTTTGTTGAGATTTTAACTAGCTACTTGTATTACCAGTAGAGTTGTTGGTTAAAAAAAAAAAAAGGTATATGGGAGTTAGGAGCCTGTGGCTCACACCTGTAATCCTAACTACTTAGGAGGCCAAGATCTGAGTATTGCCATTCAAAGCCATCCCAGGCAAGCAAGTTTGTGAGATTCTTATCTCCAATTAATCACAGAAAAAGCCAGAAGTGGCACTGTGGCTCAAGTGGTAGAGTGCTAACCTTGAGCAAAAGGAGCTAAGGGCCAGTACACAGGCCCAGAGTTCCAGCCCCAGGACCAGCCAAAAAAAAGCATATAGGCCTTTAAATGTGTTTTTATGAAATTACAAATATAATGTGGACTTACTTGTATAAGAGAACTAACTTGAAAATCATGTGTAAGTTAGATGCTGCGTTTAGGTGATGAACACAGAGAGCCCGATGTTACTTTATTCTTAAGTATAGTTTGATTAACTGTGTTTGTCTTCCCCAGATCTTAAGGCTTGGTGGAATTGCTCATTTTCTGAGTCGGTTAATGGACCCTCCGTCCAGCGAGGCAGTGCTGCTCTCCGTAAAACACCTCATGGAGCTGGTAACTGATCCCTTCAAGTTCTGACTTGGACTAAGAGTGGTCAGGCGTGCAAAGCTGCACTACTTCATAGGAGGCCAGGGAGATGCTGTGTAGGATTTTATTCTTATTTGACCTCCAGCATAATGCATAAAAAGTGGTGACGATTCTTTTGTCATGTGCGGATTCTTTATATATCTATCTCTACCTATTTATAGATATCTATAGATCTCTATAGATAGATAGAGATAGATATAGAAATTTTTCTTGAAATGAACTGAGTTGATTTATTCTCTTCTATTTGCGTACCATAGTATTTTTTTATAAAAGCAAGAAATTTAATGATGGCATGGACATTTAAAGGCCATATTTACACTTTATTTTTTGAGTGAATGCTAACAGGTATCCTCCCTCTGGAATGCTGTAATTCCTCAGGCTGTTATTCACTCTTGGCTTACTTCCTTAGGATGAGGTTTTTGACCTCAGAGCATCCTAGAAGTGGCGGCATAGTGGCAGTCATTTCTGCACAAGAATTTGAGAGAAGGAACTGAATTCTTGCATAGAGTAGAGAGAAAGGCACAGGGATGAGCTTAGTGCAGCAAGCATGTACCATTTAAATTAGAAATTAAAAATTCAGGGTCTCAGTTCCATTCATATTTCAGCTAGCAGGAAAGACTCAGATCCATGTTGGTTTTTAAAAATCTTTTCTTGGAAATAGAGCATATACATCCAGGAAGACTGAGCAGAGTGAAAGTGTGTAGCATCTGGACTTAGCCAACAGCAACTAGTGTCAGCCCCTCTTTGCCGCCTCCCCCTTTCCTAGTTTTGCAGTTGCTCCAGCTCCCCAGGCGCAAATATGGCCTAGGTCACTACTTCCTCATAATCGCCTGCTGTGTTTGGGGTAATTTGCATCTCCCAGAGGCTTGAGTGGTTTGAGCTTTGCTTTGGGTAGACATACCCAGGCTGCAGTAGAGCATGCTCTGGTTTCTTTCACTAACTGGGATAGGCTCTGCATTGTTGCTTTTAGCTTCATTCTTTTATCACATTTTCTTTTGCAACTACTAAAAACATTTGTTCTTGTTTGAGGCTGTTAAATATAATTTAGGTGTAAATATCTTTTACTGTTGTGTGTTTCCTGGTGCACACAGTCAAGCATCTGGATGTGTGCTTGGTTGTGAATTGGATGGGTCCAGAGGAGCATGTGTGATGGTTGGGGAGCCCGCCTGACAGTGCCAGGTGGTGAGTGTGGCGAGAGGACTCTCCCTGTCCTGTACCTGACCCTCCTTGCTTGCATCTGTAGTTTCACCCACATTTCCAGGACTGCCATTGAATGTGTGAGCAGCTTTTTTTCCTCTCAATTGTTCATTTGTAAGGTTTCTTCCGTGCTTGTTTCGGTGAGATTGTAAATCATTACTCATTTCTTGAGTACTCTTCATCTGAGGCCTCTGTCACTTGTAGATTACACATAACTATTTTTTCCTTTTTTCTTTTTGTTTCTTTTTGCACAGTCCTGGGGCTTGAACTCAGGATCTGGTTGCTGTCCCTTGAGCTTTTGTGCTCAAGGCTAGTGCTCTGCCACTTGAGCCACAGGTCTTCTGGCTTTGGGGGTGGTTAATTGGAGATTAGAGTCTCACAGGTTTTCTTGCTTGGGCTGGCTTCAAACCTGGATCCTCAGAGGATCTCAACTCAGGTATGAGCCACCAGCACTTGGTTCCTTTACTCTTTTTAGATTATTTTTTTTAACTATATTTTTTTGGTCTTCTTTCTCTTTTTTGGTGTAGATGATCAAACCTAGGGCATTACACTTACTAGGCACACACTACCATTGAACTGCATCCTGGCAACTTTACTCTTTGTAAATGTCTCGAGAGAAATTTACAATTTCATTGTCAAATATGTCAGTGTGAAAGGTTACTGCTTTCGCCCCTTATAAATCTATGCTAGTATTATAAAGGTTTTTTAAACTTGCTTTATTTTCCACACTTAACATGTATAATCTCTCTGCATTTTGTTTTGTGTGCATGTGTGTTGAGATCTACTAAGTAGATCTCTTCATGGAGGACAATTCTAGAAAAAAAGTCACCTTGTTTCATTCTTCAGCCCTGTCACGTGTTTATATCACAGATTATGTAGTTCTGGATTTGGGTACAGAGGTTTGCTATCCTGTCTTGGTCTGTCACAATACATTATCCTTTAGTTACGTATTTTCTTGTAAGTCTAATACAGAAATGGGATCAGTTTTGAATACTGCCCTTATGTTCATTGATGTTATAAAAGTGATTTACTCTTAATAAGTGTACAGTTTTTCATTATAAATGTATCACATTGCATTGATGTTTCATATGTTAAGATATTTTAACTTTTGAAGTTGGGTGGTGGTGGCTCATACCTGTAATCCTAGCTACTCAGGAGGCTGAGATCTGAGGATCACAGTCAAAGCCAGCCTGTGCAGGAAAGGCTGTGAAACTCATATTCCAATAAACCACTCAGAAAACACAGAACGGCACTGTGGCTTAAGAGGTAGAGCATTCTTGAGTTGAAGAGCTGAGGGACAGCACCCAGGTCCAGAGTTCAAGCACAACTGACAAATAAATAAATTTAACTTTTGAAATAAACCCAGTGGCAGAGGTGTTTTAATTCTTGTTTTACATGTATAAAATAATTTAATAGTGTTTCTCAGATGCTCTTCTCAAAGTTAAATAACAAGATTAGGAAGTCAGAATTTTGTTCTTAAACAAAATAGACTGTGGGCATTTCCTCTATAAATGTTTTGAAACCTGTGTCTAATTGTACGTGCATAGCTCCTTTTGTTGTTATTGTTATTATTGTTTCTTGTTTGGATCTTGGATATCTAGCATAGTTAGTTTAATTATGAACTAAATATTCTATGTACAGCATGACTTGTTGACAGAACCCAAAGCCTTGTCTGGTCTTCTTGCAAACAGCAGTTACCTCAGGTCTGCCAGGAAAAGAGCCCTAATCTTGTAGTGGCCACCCACCCCTGAGTGGCTGTCCTTGCCCACATTCTGGGTTGGGGTTCATTGCTTGTTGTCCCTGAACTGCTGTTTTAGCTGTTCTCTGTATTGTAGTTGGACTATATTTCTCATTGTTCAGGGTTCTTAAAAAAGTTTTTAACCTTTGCTCACATTGAACTGGTGTTTTTATGAGGAAAACTAAAGATAATATTGGGGTGTTTGGGCTTTAAAAAAAAAAACTAAAATAGCTTCAAATATAATGCCTTTGTATGCTTGTTTTCAAAAAACTCTCTACAGAATGCTTTGGACAAACAGGAAGAATTGACCCCTCTTGGTGTCCACTTGGCCCGATTGCCAGTTGAGCCACACATCGGGAAGATGATTCTCTTCGGAGCTCTTTTCTGTTGTTTAGACCCAGTGCTCACTATTGCGGCTAGTCTCAGCTTCAAAGATCCCTTCGTGATTCCATTGGTAAGAAAGACGCTCTCTTTCAGTTTTACATGCTGAAAGTTGTTGATTTGATACATTTTTCCTTAGGTTTTTATTAGAGTGGTTTTATTTATTATAGTATGGTTCTATTTATTCTAGTGTCACAACAATTCGTTTCACTTTCTGTCTTTTAGGGGAAAGAAAAGATTGCAGATGCTAGAAGAAAGGAACTGGCAAAGGAAACTAGAAGTGATCACCTGACAGTTGTAAATGCATTTGAGGTAAAAAAGAAAAGGCTTGTCCTAGATTGTGGCACGTTATTATTCAGTTGGAAACCTGATAATACAAAAAAGGAATGTAGTTGATCTTTTGAAGTACTATAAGGAATAAGTTGCAGGCAATGGTCAAAACAGGTGAGAAAATTCATTATCAGTTTTCTTTTAATTTTTATACATGACTCAGACATGAGAGTTTTATTGTGGTAATTACTTTATAAGTTCACCCCTCTACTACAGTCTCTTTGACCTTGTCCCTCCTCCTCCATCTCTACAGTGTTTGTTGTGCTCTCTTCATGTGTTTATACACATACATACATCAATACACCAATACATCGCACATGTTCGTCTGTATGTCTCCTCATGGTAGGCACAGCCTCCATGTATACGGGTGGAAGCTTGACTTGTCCACTTGTATTTGATCCGGGGCCCCCACTCCATCCATTGTCTGTATAGCAGTTTCATTCTTCCTCTAACAAATGTTTAATGGTGTGATGATATACCATGTCTTTACTCATATATTGGTTACTGGTCACCTTGGCTGATGCCAGCATTTATTTGTTGTGAACAGTTCTGTGAAAGATGTAGTATGCAGGTGTTTTTCTGGTATATTATTTGCTCATCTTTAGTTTTAAGGTTATAAGGAAGGTTATAAGGAAGATGTGTCTTTAGTCTTTTCAGAGACCTCCATGCTGACTTCCATAAGTAGTCTATATTTCTCATTGAGAACACATGAAGTATCTTCCCCTTCCCCCCCAAAAAATCTGGTTATTGTCCTTACTTTTCCTATCCTGCTTGTTGTGTATATACAGAAAAGCTATTGAGGTTTTTAAATATGTTAATTTTGTATCCTGCTGCATCATTAAAAATATTAATCAGGTCTCGGGTTTATTTATTTTGGGGTGGGGGCTTAATCTCTAGGTTCTTTTAAGTGTAGAATTATATCATTTGTAAATAGAGATAGTTTGACTCCTTCTTCTTCTTCTTCTTCCTTATTGATCTTGCTAGGAATCCCAGTGCTGTATTGAAAAGGAGTGGAGACTCTTGTCTCAGTCCTGGCTTGAGCATATTTCAATTCTGTTTAGCCTAGTGTTAGCTATAAGTTTGTTGTATGTGTATAAAATTTATTATATTGCAGGCTATCCCCCATCCTAGTTTCTTCAGAGCTTTTATTATGAAGTGATACTGAATTTTGTCCAAGCTTTTCCTACATCACTTGGTGTGGTTACGTGATTTTTGTCCTTGATTCCATTGATATGCTGGCCTTATTGATTTGTGATGAAGCATCATCCTGGCACCCTTGAATGAGATCAAATTTATTGTGATGTGTGATCTTTTAAATATATTTTGAATTCAGTTTGCAAGTAAATACTTGCAAATAAATACTTGAGAACTTTAGAATTTTTATTTTTGTGTATGTACTCATCTGGTTAAATATCGGGATAGTACTGAGTCATAATTTCGCATTTCTTATTTTCAGAACTCCAGAGATTTGTATAAAACACTTAAGGCTCAAGATGGCAGCTATCTTATCACCTTGTAAGATGTGGAGACCAGCAGAATGTCCCTTAGGATTACAGGCATGAGCCGTGGTGCTCAGCATGATGCCACATTTTAACATTACTAAAAATGGTTTATATCCAGTCAGGTACCAGTGGCTCATGCCTGTAGCTACTCAGGAGACAGAGCTGAGGATCACAGTGGGAAGCTAGCCCAGGCAGGAGGTCCAGGAGATTCTTTTGTCCAATTAATCACCAAAAAGTTGGGAGAGGACCTGTGGCTCAAGCAGTAGAGTGCTAGCCTTGATTGAAAAAGCTAAGGGACAGCACCTAGGCCCTAAAATGCAAGCCTTAAGCCTCAGTATTGGTACATGGACACCCAGCATGCCCACGCACACACACATCCATGTACATAATTCAGATCAGGAAGATATTTTCTGTTTTGAAAATCTAATCTTATTCTGACGTGTAAGTAATTATTTCCATAAAACTGAACTGTAATTTGCAATTTAGTTTATAGAGGCAGTGTCTTTAACTGTTCCTCTATGTTTTGTACTTCATGTTGCTCAAAAGATTTTTTTTCCTTGGAATTTAGTCAGTTTGTCTATTTTACCCTTTTTGACGCTTTCTGAGAAGAATAGTTATGAAACTGAAAATAAACCCCATTGAAATTTAGCAATGTGCTTTGCTTTTTTGACCAACACATATGCAATATGATGTTACTCTGAAAAAAATACTGTTGGCATATAATTTGTGCTCACCTATATAGAAATCTTGGGCATCATTCCTCTATCCCATTTTGCTTTATTTTTATATAGAGTCTTGAGCCCTTTTGCCTAGGCCAGCCTTGGACTATAATCCTACATGCTGCCTCCTACGAAACTGGGTTACAGGCAGACGCCATCATACTAGATGCACAGATGGAAAGTGGTACGCAGTCTCAGAATGGTATAAACAGATTTTCCTTTTTTGTCCCATAGGGCTGGGAAGAAGCTAGGCGGCGTGGGTTCAGATATGAAAAGGATTACTGCTGGGAATATTTCCTCTCTTCAAACACACTGCAGGTACTGTAATTGAGTAATTTGTGTATTGCTAGGTTAGTACAGATACAAATCTGTTTTCTACATCTGTATATGTCATGTTAAGTGAAAAATACACAAAGTAGATATTATATGAATTATGTGAAAAACACAACATCTAACTAATAAATCTCAATGAAAGTACCTGCTCATTAGCAGACTGAAAAGTAAGGTTGCAGCTCTGAAAGATAACTGCAGCCAGAGGAAATGGAAGGGACACAGTTTCTCAGTAGAGGATGCCTTAGCTGACCAGCAGGAGTGTTCCTTCAGGAAATAGTGGGAAGACAGGACTGCCGAACTCACACTAGCGGGACAACCAGGAGAAAGTGGTGGACATGTGGCAGTAAGTAGAAACTAGAGGGAATCACGGAAATTAGGGCTGATCCATCATGGGGATGGTTGGCATCCCTGTGTGGTTTTGAGTAGTGATCCAGAGAGAGACAGAGACCATTCTGGTGTTCCAGACACAGACAGAAACCATTCCAGTGATTGATCCAGAGACAGACAATCCCTTCCAGTGATTGATTCACAGATATAGACCATTCCAGTGATCCAGAGACAAGACGTCATTTCCCTGAAATGGAAAGGATAAAATGAACCAAAAGTATGAAAATTGGCTGAACACAAGTGTCATTTGAGATGATCAATTTAGACAATTTAAGTGTAAAGAAATAGGACAACTATTAAGTAAACACTTATGAAACAGAGTTCTGAGTTGAAAAACTCACTGGCAGTGAAAATGCTGCCTGTTAGAATATGAGAGTAATCAAAGAGAAAAAAATCTTAGTGCATGATGAATCAATCAACTGATAGTATGCATGGGAATATTTAAATACTGTGCTAATTCAAAATGTGGAATTCACACATGCAGAATAGCATTGAAAATGATAGTGGTCCTAAAAGCGAGCAAAAGACCTCTTGTGGTTATAAAATGGAGATTATGTGGTCATTCACACTCATTTCTGCAACTAGAAATGAATTGACGACGTGGAGGTACTTTTTTGTAAAAAAGATTACAAAATGGATCTCCTTGTTAGGATACATTTCTTCTGAACTCATCTTTGTTTTATGTATGTATAAACAGTCTTGTTTAGTTAATGTTATTTCTCAAGATTTGAGGTGAGAGAAGGCTCAAAGGGCTTGTTGAGCAATTTTGAAAATTCTATTTGTCAGTCTTAAGTATTGTTGCTTCTGACAAGGGGTGAACTTTTTCTGTGAAAGACCATTGATCTCTGGGATAGTGCAGAAGCCGCCATTGATGAATGGGTATAGTTGTGTTGTAATCTGTTGACAGAACAGTTTTCTAGTTTGCCAAACTTTTCCTTCCAGCATCTTGTGTTTCACAGTTCCCCTAAAGCAGCAAGGTGTGCCTGGTCGCCCTGTCCCTGTGCTTGCCTGAGCACGATGCCTTCTCTTTTGCTTGCTCCGTAGATGCTGCATGACATGAAAGGGCAGTTTGCTGAGCACCTGCTTGGAGCTGGGTTTGTAAGCAGCAGGAGCCCCAAAGACCCCAAATCCAATATAAACTCAGGTAAAGCACACCATGGTTCAGAGATGGCCCTTACTGCCCACCATCTCAGTTTTTTTACTTTGTTTTCTCTGCCCACTTCCAATAGATAATGAGAAGATAATCAAAGCTGTCATCTGTGCTGGCTTATATCCCAAAGTTGCTAAAATTCGACTAAATCTGGGTAAAAAAAGAAAAATGTAAGCATTGAAGATTATTAATGAATATTTGCATTTCTTTAACTTTGGAAATCCTCTAAGTGTACCAGCGTTCTTGCTGTAAATGTGTTTTTACCATTTAGAATAAGGCTGCCTTTTACCTCAGTGTAGCTGTGGAGTCTCCTCTGTGGTCACCTGTTTGTCCCAGAGTGTTAATTTAAACACATGACCACCAGTGTTAAGTCAGCCGTTAGAAATCAGTAGAATTGGCTCAGGAGAAATTGATGTAGATTGTTTTTTTTCTTTCTGTCCTTGCAAAGTGGTTCTTTTGGCAACAGCTCCTTGAATAAATTATGGTAGTTTCATGGTTTTAAAAAGTAAAATATAACAGTAAGTATGTATGCAGATGGTGTCTGTGATCATTGGAGACATAGTAGTGAGGTATATTTTTCTGCCTTGGAAATGAACCCACACTGTTAAAGCTTATTCTGACAGAGAAGCTTCAGTGATTAAAATGGTCTCTGGTTCAGTTGCCTGATGAGTATACATTTGTGTGTAGGTGCGTGTGTGCGTGCATGTGTGTTGGTGGGTCCTAGAGCTTGCACTTGGGGCCTGGGTGCTGTTCCTGAGCTTTTGTGATCAAGACTAGTGCTCTATTACTTGAGCCATAGCTCCACTGCCAGAATTTTGGCTTTACTATCAGGCTGGCTTCGAACTGTGATCCTCAGATCTCAACCTCCTAATTAGCTAGGATTATAGGTGTGAGCCACTGGTGCCCTGCATGAGTGCACATTTTGACTTGAGAAGTGTATCTTAAGGAAGTGATTGCAAACAGCACAGCAGTCATTAGCTGAGGAATCGGTTGTGTCGTAACGTGAAGTATAGTTGGTAGATAGCCTGGGACTAAAAGCACAAGAAACACAGACCCATGGAAGACATCTTTTCCCGGGCACCGGTGTTCAGCTTGGGTGGCCTGGAGATGTTATGGTTGCTATATGTCAGGATAGACATGTGTTCTCAGAAACCTGGAGTGTCCCGCTAAGTGTCATGCAGTATGCAGGACAGCTCCCCAGGAATGAGGCCCAGACCCGTGTCTGCACTGCTGAGTGGGCCTGTTCCAGGGTGAGAGGTCATGGCTACATGGGTGAATTCATTACTGTGGCTGGATTTCCATATCCTAAGTGGTACACGTGGTTCACGTGCTTTGCTCTTGTGTCAGTATTTTATCAGGTTCTGTCTTTACATCTAACTTCATACAGATACCTGTTTGAATACACTGTTGTCTTCCTTTGTCACCCTGGGAGGACGTGTGAAAAACATAGATGGGTGCTTGGTTTTGTCCTAAGTAGAGGGTCACTGAGCCTCGTCTTGCAGACCAAAGCTGTTTTCAGTGGGTTTGTATCACTTGGTCCTATTGTTGTCTGCCTGTTTCCATCCTACACTCTCAGAAGTGTTTGAGATCCACAGGGTCCTGAACCTAAAACCTTGACTGCCCAGGCCTCCACAGTCTGCCACCCACCCATGTGGGTTATAGGATGGAATGGGTTACATTGACTGTGATAAAAAGTGAGAACTTCTCGTTCTATTATGTGTAATCAGTCTTAACTGGTTTTGGTGTAAGAAGTACAACTGCTTGAAAAACTTGAAAAGCTAATGCCAGTGGCTCATGTCTGTAGTTCTAGCTACTTACTCAGGAGGCTTAAATCTTACCATCGTGGTTTGAAGCTAGCCAGGGCAGTAAAGTCTGGAGACTCTTACCTTGTATTAGCTACCAAAAAGCCTGAAGTAAAGTGTTAGCCATGAGCAAAAAAAGCTGATGGACAGTGTCCAGACTGAGTTTAAGCCCCAGGAATAGGTGTGCTTGTGCACACACACAACCAATTTGGAGGGTTTATGGATTATTAGCATATATGTGCTTTCCTAATAGAAGAAGTTAACACATTTCCCTGTTGCATAGTATTGAAGATTTAAAATAGACCGAATCACTTTATTTTGGGCAGTCTTATTTTCCCTTCTGTGGTATAGTTTGTGTTAATACTCTGATACGTTGAGTAACTCTTCTTAATCTTTGAAGTAGTGGACAAGAGAACCCCTAGGAGACTTCATTTTAAAATCTTGTTTTAACTTGTTTTAAAGGGTGAAAGTTCATACCAAGTCTGATGGTCTGGTTGCGATTCACCCCAAATCAGTGAACGTGGAGCAGACCGATTTCCGCTACAACTGGCTCATGTACCACCTCAAGATGAGGACGAGCAGTGTGAGTGCCTGCCGAGCGCTGCCTGCCCCAAGGCCCCATGTCTCACTCCCCGCGTCCCACAGCCCATTGCTCAGTCTGTGGCTTTGGACTTAGAAACTTTGCAGAACGGTGGGCAAGATTTTCCTGTTAGGAATTGCAGCCTTTTGAGCAGATAAGCTGTACTTGAACATTGGCCTTTTACAATTAGCCTTTGTGTTTTTACCAAGTTGGAGGGTCATGAGGTTTGAGTCATTTTCTCTTAGTCTCTGAAGAAACCTGAAGGGTGTAGTTGGTTAGCACATTTGTGTTTATGCACTCAGGAAAGTATTTAGTGGGTTCTGTTTGTTTTCTTTGGTAGCTAATTCATGTTTGTAAATTCTGAAAACATGGATAAAAACAGTTTCAGCTATATTAGTGTTTTTGATACTCAGGAAGTACTTTGTTCAAAGAATAGTGCTACATTTTAAATTAAAAACATGAAACCTTTTATGACTTAGCGGAGAATGTTCACATAAACTATTTCTTGTAAATCAGTCGGTGTAATTTGGCTCACATGCACACACGTCTCAGGAGGGAAGTACTGTGGTGGTTGCGTAGCCTGCAGTGACCGGGCACCCCCTTTCCCCCAACAGATCTACTTGTATGACTGCACCGAGGTCTCCCCGTACTGCCTCTTGTTCTTCGGTGGCGACATCTCCATCCAGAAGGACAACGACCAGGAAACCATTGCTGTGGACGAATGGATTGTGTTCCAGTCCCCAGCCAGAATTGCCAACCTTGTGAAGGTGAGTCAGGAAGTGTTTCGTGTTGTATTTTGACAGCTGGTTATGTTGGAAAGCTAACTCGATTTTCCAGATTGTTTTTGTGGTGGTGGTAATACACTTTCAATGGCTCAGTCTGATGAAAGCTTGCTTTCAACTTCCCTTGAGTGGTTTGCTCACCAAATGTGCATGTTGTTATAATAGCTTGTGGCACTCCTCGTACCAGTCAATAATGCATGTGTCCTTGCTGAACGTGTCACTTTTCCAACCTTAGGAGTTAAGGAAGGAACTGGACATGCTGCTGCAGGAGAAGATAGAGAACCCTCACCCTGTGGACTGGAAGGACAAGGCATCCAGAGACTGTGCTGTGCTCTCTGCTATTCTGGACTTAATCAAAACCCAGGAGAAGGCGGTTCCCCGGAGCCTGCCTCCCCGCCATCAGGACGGATGGAGCAGCTGACAGCTTTGCAGCGCATGGTCTCTTCCTCACACTTTAACTCAGCCCAGAGCCCTGGAACCTGCGCGTGGCCCTGGTAGGTCAGAACCTCGAGTAGGTAGTAAAGACGTAGTGTGTACGTGTCCTCCCCTCGCCCTTGTGAGTGCACAAACACAGTCTGTCATACTCCTGGCTGGGCTTGTCCATGGGGAGGGGGAGGGGAGGCATCTCTGTGAGTGTTGTGCCCAAGAGGGCGTGTATTCTCTTACAGGAAATGAATCTTCCACCCATAATGATTAAGTGTAGAACTAGGAAAAGCAACGTGGTTAGCACAAAGCAGCATCAAGAATGTGAACACAACCACATTTTTAAGAATAAACTTCTTCTAGAAGTAAATTTCTTGTAATTAAAGCCCAGTATTTAATAAAATATGTAAAGCTCAGCTAACTTCTTGGCTTAGTATCCACATGTCCACCTCTCCCTGGTTTCATGTTTTTACTTTTAAAGTATCGTTTCCATTTCTTCTGCAGCAGCATGAGCACCTGAGTCGAGTTAGCACCTGATGGCCTGAAGTTCGGTCCCATTCTGATTGTTCCCAAATGTCTTGAGTGTGTTGCTCGTTTTGTGACTTACTTTTCCTTGTCTCTATCCCAGTGGGGACTGTGGGGCTGAAGTGTCAGTAGGTGCAGAGCACACAGGCTGCAACTTGCTGCGACGTCGTGTCCTCAGTCTCACCACTCGTCCCTGACAGCATTTTGCTGCATAATAGTCTGTGACACAGGACTTCAGTGCCTCATAGCCGCCGACTCCTCCGTGAGCACATGTCCTCTGTCCAGTCCCATCCATCGTTGAGGTGCTCTTGGTTGCCAGCACCACTTTGTCACTTTTTGTTGCTGTAGCGTCCCGGCCTCTGTGTCATGTCCTCAGCAGCCAGACCTGCTTCCTAAGAGCAAACCCTTGCATAGGCCGAGGTGCCTGCCCTTGCCTGTGGGATTTACAGGTGGGCTACAAGGGGCAGGGAAGGTTTTCTCCTGAGTAGACTTCATAGACGGGATTCCACTGCAACGTCCTTCACCAGTACCAGAGATGGGCTGGTGTTCCTGATCATGTGGAGATGTACAGAGTGCCCAGGTCTAGTGCTGCCATCCATGTGAGCCTACTGTCATGGTTTAAGCCACCTTAAGTAGGCCTATTTTTACGTTGGCAAAAAGCATATTCACTGAAACACACACCCTCCATCACTGAGTGACTCCGAGGCCTCTTTCTGTGGGTTAAAAGTGATAGAACTGGACACTACTGCAAAAAGAAACACTCATCTGTACCCTCAAAATGGAGATTTATTGTGCTTTCCAGTAAACGAAAGGGAGCCAAAGGAATGGGATACACTGGTGACAGTGCTGGTTCAGTGGCTCCCATTTCTGGGGAGGTGTGTTCTGGCCGGCCCACCTGCCTTGCAGTGCTCGCATCATGTTACGTCTCGTCACAGTGCTGAGGACGTACAGGCCATCTGTTGTCAGGGCCCATCTGTGTTAGCAGTTCTTGAGGGTGCCTTTTATATTTTTCTTGTATTCATTGTCTAATTTCAGTTCACATCTACCAAACGCTCCTGGAAAAACAGATTTAAAGACAAATTTGTAAAAGATGCATGATTCCATGTGGGTATTGTTTGCTTATTTCTCCAGGTGAGTGGAGAAATGCTCCTGCATTGTTGAATGGCAGTGAAAACATTCTGTCACCTGGTTTGTCTGCTCTGCAGCTGATGAGAATGGAAATCTTAGTTGAAGGTGCTGTTTGTTGTTTCTTTAGTTTACAGAACTGGGCATTGCCGAATGACATGCATTCCAAACTAAAAACCCACTGACTCTTCAGTGATTTTAAGAAATAAGACATTAAGTTAGAAGGGAAATCTAGGCTGGGCACTAGTGGCTCACACCTCCAATCCTATTTTGAGGCATTGGGAGGATCAGGCTTTGCTGGCCAGTACGTGGTGGTGTGGTACCCTCCTGCCTGCCCCCAGCTGTGGGGAGGGGAGATCTGGAGCCCGGTGCTTCCTAGCCAGGTTGGACAGAAAGATCACTGACCCCACATAGACAGGCTGAGTGTGTTAGGGCATACCTAACTGGTAGCTGGCCAGATGTATCAGGAAGTGTGGCTAGGAAGATGGTGCTCCACACCAACCAGAGTCCCCAGTGCAAAGGGGACTGGAGACCTCGCCAAGTGGTACAGCATCTGTCAAGCCCTGAGTTCACACCCCAGTATAACTATTTTTTTTAAGGAAATCTATTTGTCTTAAAATGATTCTTGTCAATATAGAGAGTAAATGGGAAGAAATAAATTTAAGGGGGAATTAGAAGGAATAGAGGAACCAAGTAGGCAATGTAGAGTGCATATATAGCAAATACAGTAAAAAGCAGAAGCTGAATTTATCCTACTTAATCATGAGTCTTGGATTTTGCTGCATTTTTAAAACAAAGTATGCTGAAAGTACTTGTGGAAAACTTTTAGAGAGAATGTATTCTCATTTCCCTAATCAGAATAGTGGCAAATTTCCTTCTATACTTACCTTTGAGGTTGTATGTATTTTTACACCATAGTTACCATTTGTATATTCGTGACTTATGATAATGCTAAAATTATTTTTTATTCTGGACTTATATGGAAAAATATTTGGCAGTTCAGCCTATAAACATGTTACCATTGCTACATTTTTTATATATTTCCATGTTTTTTTGAAAGCTTTTCTTTGTATCTAATGAAGTGATTTTAAGTGTGTCACTCAGTGTAGAATCTTGTCACCTGTGTAAAATCTTGAGATTTGTTTGTAGAGCATTTCCTGCCCTCCTTTAGTGCTTTGCTATTTTTCTGGCCCATAGTTTTGCCATATACAATAAATGGAATTGTAGGCAGTCATCTGTATCCAGTTGCTTTTACTGAAAGCTTTTAACATGAGTTGTGTTACGTGTCTCTGTTGTTTACCAATGTGTAGTGCGGTTTTACTCGTTTATTTCTCCATCAGCTGATAGCTATTGACTTATTCAAGTTTTTTTGCGCTGATGAATAAAACTGATGCAAGTGTGTCCTGTAGTCTTTGTGTGGCTATGTATTTTCACTTCTCTTGGGAAGTCCCTGAGATTTTGTGATCTGTTTCCAGAGTCTTCAGAAGTGACTAGAGGTGGTGCCCAAGTGTTTGATGCTCTTGGCAGAACTGTATTGTCAGTTTTATTCTGTTCTGGCTGTGGACTGAGGTATCATTTTGCCTTTAGTTGGTAGTTTGAACCATCTTGATTTTCATGTACTTAATGCTGTTGCTTTCTGCCATCTGTATGTTAAATGGAATCTGAAGAGGGAGAATTACCCATTTTATGTTTGCAAAGTTGTTACTTATGTGCATTCCTTGAAGTTCATTGCAAATCTGAGTCACTGAAATCTTGAGCATGAGCTTGCTCCTGGCCTCAACACAAGTTCACTCTGGAGTGAAGAGCTAGGCAGAGAAACCCACTTCCAGATGGGGGAGATCCTCGCCCTTCCCACCAGTGCCAGTGAGCAGCTTCACACTCAAGGCCGGCAGTCCAGGCCACCTTGTGAGACAGAACTCACCAGAAAGTGTACTCGGTTGCCCTTCTTCTTTAGTCCCATTGGGGCTAGAGAACATTTTGGTGCATTCCTGTTCCTTTACATTTCTCCATTAGGATCTAGAAAACATCTCTTGCAATGAAGACTGACCTGTTGTTGGGTGGAGTGGCTGTTATACCGCTCTTGGGCTCCTTTTTGCATTGTTTTTCGGAGAGGTCTCAGGATAACTTCCCCTGTAGCTGGGATTGCCGCCCTTGTCCACCACACCCAGCCTTGTAAATTCACTGTAGATCTCACTGGTTGTGGCCCCATTATGCTGCCAGCAAAGAACTTATTACTATTGTTAGTCCTTTAAGAATTGTTTACACTTGGTGAGGTTCAGGAGAGTTAAATGTAAATACCTTATGGCTTGAAAAGACTATGTTCCATTTTCACCAGGACTGGATTCAGGACCTTAGACTCATACCCAGCTGCCTTGTTCACTACTGCCATGCTAATTACTTGATCTCCACTTCTGGCTTTTTTTTTTTTTTTTTTTTGGTTATTGATAGCTAAGCTGTAGATTGGTTCGGGGCTGGCTCAGAACAGTGTTTCTTGGATTTCAGCCTCCTGAATAGCTAGGATTATAGACATGAGCCACCAGTGTCCAATAACTCCAAGTAACTTTCTAATGTGAAGTTAAACCCAGTTCCATACTTTCCTTCTCCATACTTTCCTTCTCCGTGTTTCTTCTGCTGTTCTTGTTACTCTTTGTAATTTTGTTGTTCTGTAAAATGCATTATCTGTTGCTGTCACTCTGGTTTGGATTTCAGTCTGGCTTCTCTGTACTATCCCTACCCCACTGTCATGCTAGTCCTCTAGAGGGGTTTGTTTCTACCAAGACTTCAATGAGCTAGAATCCTAGAAGGCAGGTTCACACTCCAGTCCCCAGGGTTCAACCCACAACTCCTCTACCTGTGCTCTTCACTGGCAAGCTCGGCTGCTCCCCTGAGGCCTGGGGAGATGAGGGCCCTTCTTCCTTCCTGCTCATTCTCCTGCAGCTTCCCCCTCCAGTTCCCCTCCTCCCAGGATCCCACTTTGATTGATGTCTGCTGACAGACATCTACTGTCAGGTGGCTTCAAAGAGTTAGGAAGCTGGGAAACAAAATCTCCAGAGGTTTTCCAGTTTGCTCTTCCACCCCTTTAAATACAGCTGCAGAAACCCATAAAAGAAAAATAATTTAAAAATAGTAATAACACCAGCATGAAAATACATGTACAAAATCTTCATAAAACTCCCAGACTTAGTTGGAAGTGTACAAGTAGTCTCACTGTATTGGAACAGAAATGACATTTTTGTTTGCTGGAACTGAAGAAACTGTACAAGAAGGTATTTCAACAACCAACTAGTTTTAAAAATACTGTTTTCAGGCACAACTTGGGGCTGTGAATGTGTTATACACCTGCTACACATTACCTAACAGACTGTATTAATCTGCTAATGAGGCCCTATCGACACAGGCATTGCATATTTCAACACGTAGTCATCCTACGTATAAATTAACCCACTGACTCCATAAGGTTGCTTTTTAGGTTCAATCTGGTATTAGCAAAGTAATACCCCAATAATCCCGGGGCTGGGAAAGTGGCTCAGTGGTAGAGTGTTCGCCTTGCATTCGTGAGGCCCGTGGTTCGATTCCTCAGCACCACATAAGCAGAAAACCCGTAAGTGGTAGAGTGCTCACCTCGAGCCGAGGGACAGCGCTCAAATCCAGAGTTCAAGTCCCACGACCGACAAAACAAAAATACGATCCCCTCTGAAGCAAGCGTCCGGCCTCTTTCCGTTACCTTGCTAGCCTTCCCTGCCGCCCGCCCTCAGCCAGAGGCGGACGGTGGCCGGCCTCGGGGACTGGCGGGGTCCCTCCCGGGGCGCCGGCGCCCGCGCGCTGCGCGCTGGCTCTTCTCCCAGGAGCAAGGCGCCTGGGGCGCGCCCCGGTCACCAGGTCCGGCCCCTGCTCGGGACCAAAGTCGCGGCTCCACGTCCGGGGAAGAGGTTTGAAGACCCCGCGGCTTGGTCTCTTGAGTCCGAATCCGGAGGCGCCGGGCCGGGCCGCTGCAGGCTGGAGCCGGAGCCCCCGCGGCTGCCCCGCGGCGGCGGCTACACGTGCGTCTCCAGCCCCAGCAGACGTCCCATCCGCTCCACGTTCCGGTCGATGGTGGCCCGGCATGTGATCTCCCTGGCGCACTCCGCGGGGAACCAGCCCCGCTCCCCGTCGCGGAGCCGCTCGCCCTCGTACCAGCCTGTGCGGAGGAAGACATGGAGGAAGATGGCTCCACCGGGCCGCTACCACACGCCCGGAGGGAGGGGGCGGGGTCACTGCCGGGACGCAGGGGTGGGGGGCGGGGCCCCGGGTCCGCCGGCTCACCGTCGCCCACGTGCTGGTAAGTGAGCACCACGTCGGCCACCTGCAGGGAGAGCTCGTCGGGCTGCCTGGCGGTGAAGGAGCGCACGACCTCCACCTGCGTGAGCGCTGAGGGGACGGGCGGTTCTGAGGCGGTGACCTCCCGGGGTGACGGGGGCGGGGGGAGTTCTGACGGGGTGAGGAGGGGCAGGGGGCGTCGGGGATGGGACTGGCTGCCACCGAGCGCGGGTCTCGCCGGCCCCGCCTCGCGGAGAGCGTGCTGAAGCTGCGGGGGCCTCAGCTGGGCTCCGTTCACGGCCCGGCCCTGCTGTCACACGAAGCCGCCCGGAGCCGCGCTCCCGCTGACTCCGCAGAGGCCGAGGCCGCGGCCGCCTGCAGGGCCCGAGGGAGCCTGGAGCCGGGACTCACCAGTTCGGTCCAGGTGCCGCCTCCTGCCGCCGCCGCCGCCACTGCTGCCCAGCGCCGTCACCCAGCGCGCGCGCTCGCTCCTAGACAGGACACGGGGACTGCGGCTACGTCCGCTGGAGACCCGGGGCGGAGAGCCCGGGGCCGCGGCCTGCGCTCAGGACAGGGGGGGAGGGGGGAAAACGCCGGGCCTTCCCAGGGCTCCCCGCTCGAGCCTGCCCCTCCCAACCACGGCCACGCCCACTGAGCTTCACCAGCTGTGCGCCTCAGCCCCGCACGCTGGGGTGCACTTCGCACGCTGCCAGCCCAAAAACCACCAGCTAGTCAGGAGGCTGAGGTAGGAGGATCCGGGTTTGAAGCCGGCCTAAGCAGGAAAATCCAATTAATTACCAAAAAGGCAGGCAGGAAGGAGATGGGGTTCAGTGGTAGAGTGCTAGCCTAGAGAGAAAAGGCTCTAAATTCAGGCTGACACACACACACACAAAAAACAAAGAGGGGGGGAGAGGTCTAGAAGTGCGGCTCAGAGGTACAACTGCCTCATGTGCACAAAAACCTGAGTTCAGACCCTTCATGCTGAAAATGAAAAAGCAGAAAGCGTGGGTGAGGATGGGAAGGAGCTCATCTGAAGAATGGGGTGGGCCTGGAAAGCTGGGGTTACACAGATGGTGGACTGTCTTATTTATCAGGCAAAAGGATTCACCATAGCTTTGTAAGGACAAAAAATGGCATAACTTCCTTTGCAACAGTCGTCCAGCAAACACTGAGTTGGGACGTCTCTGGGTGGGATGAGGGCTCTGTTACATTCAGGCACAGGTGAAATCTCCAAATACAAATCCTAGCTACTCAGGAGGCTGAGATCTGAGGATTGTGCTTCAAAGCCAGCCTGTGCAGGTAAGTCATGAGACACTTATCTCCAATTAACCACCAGAAAACCAGAAGTGGTGCTTTGGCTCAAAGGAACAGTGCTCCAAAATTATAAGCTAGTATTTCACTGTCAGAAGAGCTAGTCACCAGGGGAGCCTGTGAGGCTTTTTGTGCATCAGTCAACAAGGCTCAGCACCGGGTTCCCACAGTGGTGTCTTTACCAGCAGAGCGGGGCAGGGGGGAGGATGCCTTCAAGGAACACTCTGGAACCATCTGGAACCCAATTCTGCCTGACATGGGCAAAGGTGAGGCCTGGCTTGGATGAAAGTCCCATTTCAATGCTGGCTTCTCCCAGTGGGCACTGCTTGGAGCTCACTGCTTTCAGACACATCGGCCCTTGACTGGGCTCCCGTCCACAGCACAGGAGAATGCTTGTTGCCTGGCTAAAAGGGTGGCCTCTGGACATGCTTGGGTGGTGCCCCCACTCCTCTCAGTACTGTGAGCCCTGTCCCCCCCCCCCAGCCCTGCTGTGGAGCGGGAAGTCCGGCTCGCTCTCCACAACAGTGAAGGGGACACACGCCCGAGAGGCAGTGTAAGGACAAGAAACACCAGGACACAGACACCATTATTAGCTATACTCTCACACCCATCATGTGTTCACAGATGTCCGTTTGTGGCAAGGACAGTGTGAAGCAAGATGGATTTCCAGTGTCCTTTATACCCTGTCCAGACTCTTCCCCTGGCCCAGAGCACCAGGCTCAGGCAGCCTGGCTGCTCCTCTGGGCATATGGAACACCTGTATTCCCTAGCACTATGGGTTCTTGGACAGAATGGGCTACATACTTCACTAAATCTGTCTCGAAACAATAGACAATGGAGAACCTGTGCTGCGGTCATTCCTCCTCTCAGCCCTCACTCGCATTGTGTCAGGTTAGTAAGATGAAAGCAAGCAGGATGGGATCACTCCATCCCAGCAGTCAAGACAACAGAGCTGACAGCAGGAAACAAACTGCAACCCAAGGCATGAGTTCGAGCCATGACTAAGCAGTCTCCTTAAAATATCCGTGACCCAGGAGACCGACTGAGCTGACAGCACCCAGGCCTTCGCCCTGACAGGCTGGTGAGTCGCAGCTAGGGAAGAGACCTCCTTTATCCTTCTAACCTGGGGCATACAAATTACCTTGTGCTTCCTTTAGAAACTTCTCTACCCCCTGCCCTGGGGTGGAGAGGGCAGATGAAGGCAGACCCAGACAGCCTGAGCAGCAGGACGCAGTCCATGTGTCACGCCAGCCCCGCTCACCTAACGTAAAACACCTGACCCACGCACAGCAGTGTTCCCTATGACTATGGTCCAGACTCTGTGGCATGCCGCACAGCCTGCTCTGGAGACTCAGTCAGTGGGAGCTGCGTGGCCAGGTGCCGGTAGCCTCGAAAGGCCCTGCCACTGCCGTCCTGCTTGTCTGGGTCAGCATGATTCCTCATCAGGACACAGAAGCTGCGAGAACAACTTCTGGTGACCAAAGCTGCAGCTGGCTGCACCCGTGCTGCGCCTGGTGCACTGTCACCTTCCCACCAAGAGCCGGGTAGGGGTGGGGGAGGGACAGGGAGGACTGGCCACCAGGCTGACGGTCCACAAAAGCCCCTGCTGGAGAGAGGAGCACAGGCACGGGGGTGGGGTGGGAGAAGGGGGCAGATAAGGAGGGCAAGTGTGGGGTGGAGGGCGGGGGGAGAGGGAAAGCTGACAGGGCCCAGGGCTGGGACAGGAAGGAGCTACAGGCCCTGTGACACCACCACATCGTGTTCGAGTGTGGAGCTGCGTGCTTCTGAGGAGTGTCTGAAATACTTTTATCTAGTTTTATAAACAAGGTAAACTTTCATTTTCTTTTTTCCCCCCCGCCTATGTTGTTAGCACACATGTCCAGGAACTCCTGAATTTCCAGACCTCCAAAAAGCAGGGCTTCCTATTCTAGCATGAGCGTCCTCAGGTTGCTAGTTCTTCCATTTTCATTTCATGGCCTGGAACACAGGCTGGACATGGAAGAGCACATGTGATGTGCCCGTGAACTCAGTGGAAACCATGCAGATCTTCCCATGAGGACTCCTCGGGCCTTCTCTGGGCACTCGGGTTTGGCATTCCACCCCAGAAGGCATTTCACACAGCCCCAAACCTCACCCTGCCATGCCAAGCAGGGGGAAAACCAGTCTTTAATAAAACTGGGTACAGTGCAGTTTGGCTTGGACAAGAAACAGGGTATACTTTCAGAGGCACCACAGAATCGTCAAGGATCCTTCTTGACAGTCTAGATTCAACAAAGAAGAAAACTATGACCTAACAAATACATCTTCACATAAACTGTCTTTGATGCATTGTGATGGAGTCTGGGACACTATTTACAACTTTCTCCCATCCCTGACTTCCTGTTCTTAATTGAATCATTAACAGAAGCAGGAAGAGCACAAAGATTCCATCTAAACAAAGCCCCTTTATCAGAGGCCTGGGACCTGGATAATGGCTTCATTCATGAAGCAGGCATGTGGTCTAGACTGTTCTATACTACAGCCACTACACGACAGCTACGCATCACCAGCAAAGGTGGCTTGTGTCCGTCCCTGCACGTGAGCCCATGACATCCAAACTGCACTGGAAACTGGGCTGGCTTGTCGGTGCCAGCTGCAGCTGCAGCACATCATTTTAATGAAGGAGGACAAAGGACGCCTGGGCTCCCACATTCTTCCTGAAAAGCCCAGAGGGAAAGACAGGACCCGGGAAAGCCTTCCTCATACACTCAGACAGGGTTTGCCTGGTATTTTCTGGCCCGTTTCCCTAGCAGCACAGTGGGTGAGATCTGAAACAGGCCAGCAGGCGGCAGTGTACACGGCTGCATGCTCATCCTCAGCACCACGTATAATGAATGAATGAGCTCCTCTGTAGACAAGCAGCAAACAGGTGGAACCTGTGGAAATAGGCTCCGGCAGCAACTGGAGCTGAGGAAAAGCAATTTCCTGTAAGTGCCTCTGTCTACCTTGCTGTGGACGTAGAAAAGCTAGTTACACAAATTCAGGGTAAATCTCTGAATTAGTGTCTACCCTCAGACAGGGGTGGGTGTACTGGGGGCAGCGGGCAGGGAGTGACTAGGTACAGCACCTGCACCTCTGAGAAGCAATGGAGTGGGTGCAGATGTAGGAGACCACCGAGGAGAGAGCACAGGGGAGATGCTAGGAGACAATGACACCACAGGGCCTGTCTACCGGCCAGAGATTCCCACTCTTAGAAAGAGACTAGACTGTCAGTCACCAGGATGGCTCCTGTCAGCAGACAATGCCTGGTCCTAGATCCAACTTTGACAGCAACTCACTTCCTGGGTGACTTTAGACAAATCATACCTTCGTGACATTCATTTTAGATACTATGTAAACGTATATTGTACATTTCACTTAGTGTTGTGTCACCCTGTCTCGTATTTCATTTCGTAGAACTATGTATATTCATAGACTCAGGGCTCACACAGATACTACTGTCTGAACAGAATACCTCAGAAAGTCAGAGTGGCTTTCCTGGTGGGATCCTGGGGAAACCAAGTGACATAGCTGCCCAGCCTGTGTGCTTCCTTCTCCCCAGGCCTCCCTAGGACTCGTTTGTGTTCTGTGGCTGGATCTGTGCCTGGCAAGTCCGGACACCCACTCAGTGTCTGTCGTCCTGCCTTCTCCGAGTCTTCCTGCGGTCTTCATGTCATCAACGCCATTGGTCCTTCTTCTACAACTCACTTCCTTCTGCTGTCCTGTGCCAAACAGTTCCCCATGCTGCTGACCTCACTTCCTGTCAATCCACGTGGGCTACCCTTGCTGCTGATCTCACTTCCTGTCAATCTACATGTCCTCCACAGCCACCGTTTCTCAAGGGAAACAGACATTTATGTGTGAACACTGTTCTTTTTATGTCTAAGAATCAGTATTTAAAGGATTAATCTGCAGTTCTGCAATAACTGAACGTCTCAACTAGACTCTGAATGGATTGTACTGATCAAGACAGAAAATGGAGAAAACCTACAAATGCATAGCAACCTATGCATTTTACAAATCTTAAAATAGCAAAAAATGTGTTCTGCACAGACTAAAGGCAACCTACACAACCAAGAATGATACATGCTTGAAATAAATATACTTAACTTGACTTAAACATTACACAATATGCGTACTCTGATCACTATACGATACCTGATTAATATGTCCAGCTCTGTATTTTCATGTGTCAGTTAAGTGGTGTTACACACACACACACACACATACAGAGGCAGTCCAGTGCTGACAGGCAGATGTTTCATCACATTGTATAATAATTTCCTAGTCTTTTAAACAACCTTTTCTGTTGTTGTTGTTGGTTGTGGGGCTTGAACTCTGGGCCTGGGTGCTGTCCCTCAGTTCTTCAGCTCAGGGCAATCACTCTACCAATTGAGTCACAGCGCCATTTCTGGTATTCTGGTGGTTTATTGGAGATAAGAGTCTCATGGATTTTCCTGCCGGGGCTGGCTCTGAACTGCAGTCCTCAGATCTCAGCCTCCTGAGTAGGTAGGCATGAGCCACCCGCACCTGGCTTAAACAATCATTTTTTTCAAGGAGATTAAATACTGGTGTAATATATTGTTTTGAATGACAGTGGTATTTGGTGTCTTGAAATATTTGTCAATTTATTTCCCAGAAAAGAGGAGAAGGAAATAGAATAGCAGAGTCAGATCCCTGCCTCTCTCCCCCTTCTGGAATGTTCTCTTGCTATTAAAGAATCATGAATATGAGTCATTTGCAAGTGACCCAACTCGTCTGAGAACCATGTAGACCATTGGTCCACAGCAAGGACATAGCAGGCCTGTAGAGCCGTTGCTGCACGTCCCAGGAAAGAGTGGGGTTTGGGTGTAAAACCAACTAAAAAACTTGGTCTACTTTGTTAGAATAATCTAAGGAATAAGTGGTGGAGATTTCATAAATTATGAGATGACGGGGAAAAGCTGTGGGCAAGTTCTGAATAAGGAACAAGCAGCCTTGTGAGGGAAGAGCCAGCTGCAGGCAGGATCGCGCAGTGCCCCTCACTCCCTTCACCAGAAAGCTGGCTGGCTGGCTTCTGAGGTGTCCCCAGAGTCTGCACAAGTACTCATCCTCCACACACCTCACACCTTTCACTCTGCAGCTGTGTAAAATCCAAAGCTTTCTTGTGTTCGTTGCTCTGATTTCCTTATTTTTTTTTAAATTAAATACCATTTTGTAAAAAGCCATTTTCATCAAACAAAGCAATGCTGTCAGAAAGGTCAGGAATTGTCTCCCAGCTCACTGCCGGTGTGACTTTGGGCACAGTGCTTCACACCTTCCTGGAAAGAAGTTCTATCAGAGGGAAGTAAGATGTCACTCCTATCAGAGGGAAATGAAGTAAAATTCCCACCAGAGGGAAATGAAGCGAAATTCCCAGAGAGAAATGAAATTCCCACCAGAGGGAAATGAAGTGAAATTCCTACCAGAGGGAGAGGCCAAGGACTTACAGGGGGAAAGCACCTTCTTCCCTCAGGCCTGACCCTGGGCCTGTTGCCCCAGGTGACTTCACAGCCTGGAAGAAGTACACCGCTACCCTACTCTGGCCTTCCCCCCAGAGCAGTGGACATAGGAGGCTGTCCGTGGCGTCAGTGGAGTATCTGTCTGGGACCTGAAAGATGACTTTTCCTTCTTTTCCTTTTTGTTTTCTTCTGTTAGAAACAAACTATTTGCTCCTAGAATTGGGAAACACTCTGGTATGTCAACCTGTTCTTGGTTTTCTGCAGCCCTTGAGAAGTTGCTTCTGCTGCCAGCAAATAGGAGGTGACGCTTGGACATTCTGTGTGGATGCCTTGAAGTTCAGTTTCTCTTATGTGACCCAGAAACATGGTTAGAAATCACTCCCAGCAGGTGGAGTGTGGGCCTCAGCATCGTTTCTCCACAGTTTACCTGCAGCCCTGGGGCTGTTCCACCAATTGCAGATCCATGTTAGCCACGCCATGTGGCAGTGTGGGTAGGCATGAGGCCGGGATGTACGCAGGACTGAGAGAGGGGAGCTTCTTTTCCCTCTGCTCCACCCCTCCCCAACCCAGCCAATGGCTATCTCCGAGGGGAAGCTTCCTGCTTCTGAACATATTAATTGGCCAGCTTTCTAGAATCAAATCAAACCTCCGAGCAGACATCACAGCACAGTCCCTTCCCTTCCTCTAGTGTGGGGACCGACAGCACAGAGGACCGGCTCTGCCTCTGCACAGCTGCGCTTTTGGTGATTGAGGAAATGACTACTTCCATTGTCTCTGAGACCTCACAGCCAGATGCAAACTACTACTGAGTACTTTCACTGATGGCTGATGGGGCACAGATTTGTCAATAAAAAAAGAAGATACGTTTTTAGAGTTACAGAGGTTTGAACTCAGAACTTTGATCTTGATGGACCAATGACTGAGACAGGCACTAGGGCCCCCCATTTTTTGCTGGGTATTTTTGAGATAGGGTTTGCTTCCTGCCCATGTGTGTGCTTGTTCCTCGTCTGCCTATTTTAGGCTTCTGTTCAGAGCGTCAGCCCAGTTTCTTTTACTGTGACAGAATCCTGGAGTCCTTCCTGCCCAGGCCTGGCCTCGAATGGCCATCCTCAAAATTCCAGCCTCCTATGAAACTAGGAGGACAGGCATGCGCCAAGCCCAGCTATTCATTAAGAAAGGGTCTCACAAACTTTTCTGCTAGGGTAGCCTACAGCCTTAATCCTCTGCCTTCCAAGTAGGTAGAACTGTAGATGTGAGCCATCCAAGTCCAGCTTAAAATGTTTCCAAACCACTCCAGAAAAATAAAACTCATCAACTCATGCACAATTCATCCATCAGGACTTACAAGAAAAAAAAATATGACATGTCTCTCTGTAGCTGCTGGGGTCACAGTGGACAGAGGAGCACCTCCCCGTGGACAGAGGAGCACCTCCCATGGACAGAGGAGCACCTCCCCGTGGACAGAGGAGCACCTCCCCGTGGACAGAGGAGCACCTCCCCGTGGACAGAGGAGCACCTCCCTGTGGTAGAGGAGCACCTCCCCGTGGACAGAGGAGCACCTCCCATGGACAGAGGAGCACCTCCCATGGACATAGGAGCACCTCCCCGTGGACAGAGGAGCACCTCCCATGGACAGAGGAGCACCTCCCCGTGGACAGAGGAGCACCTCCCATGGACAGAGGAGCACCTCCCCGTGGACAGAGGAGCACCTCCCCGTGGACAGAGGAGCACCTCCCCGTGGACAGAGGAGCACCTCCCTGTGGTAGAGGAGCACCTCCCCGTGGACAGAGGAGCACCTCCCATGGACAGAGGAGCACCTCCCACGGACATAGGAGCACCTCCCCGTGGACAGAGGAGCACCTCCCATGGACAGAGGAGCACCTCCCCGTGGACAGAGGAGCACCTCCCCGTGGACAGAGGAGCACCTCCCCGTGGACAGAGGAGCACCTCCCCGTGGACAGAGGAGCATCTCACCATGGACAGAGGGCATGTGGTACCCAGAATGCCCTTGCCCACAAAGGAGACAGCAGGGTCTGAGAGCCAGGGCAGCCTGGCTCTCACCATTACTTACTGCGTCTCAGCCCCCAGCAGCATCTCCACTTTCTCGTTGGCATGGTTACTGAGGATGGTCAGTGTGAAGAGGTGACTGGCCGAGCTCTGTCTGGAGTACAGTGCGGTGGAGCCATTCTTCCCTGGAGAGTTCAGCTCTTCACCGTCACAGAGTTCCACCAACAGCTGCTCTCTCAGGGAGTAGTCGTTGACGTTGTAACTTTCTTCACTAAGAGGAAACAACACATCGGATATTCAGTACACTAACGGTGCAGGCTTTCAGGCCACACTTGCGGAGCAGAAGGGGAGGAACGACCTGTGTACGCTATGAACGAGAATCAGAATGCACCGACTTGCGTACTAGTCGCCACCTCCCACTGAGCCTGTCAATCACCATGATGTGTGCAACACACTAAATTGCATCTCAGTGCCAAGAGAAATGCTCTACTTCCACTTGGTTCTGAGGCTGCAGCAGGCATCTGCCAGTTCTCAGACAAGGCCCTCTGCTCCCAGCATGCACAGCGCCATCCACAGAAGGAAGAGGAACGGAGACTATGGGTGCTCTGGGTTCCTCCTGCTCAAGCACAACACCCTGCCATCCTCTCCCTCCTGCCCATCCACCCACTTCAGAACCGCAGGGCTTAATCCTGCCATGCCCCTCTCCTGGCCACCCCAGGCCTCAGCTTCCTCTGTTCCTAAGACCCTCTGGTTTCCCCTTGGCACTGTGAGCATAGCTCACCTTCCTCATTCTCTATGGCTCTAACACCTCCCACCATGACCTCCCAAGTCCACAGACACCTGGATGTCAGCTGGTCTCTGTGCTTTGCCTCTGTGCCTCCTTGCAGGTGTTTCTCTTCTTGGGGAGGATAGGGGACCCTGAGTCCTCTGCCTGCCTAAGAGCGATCGCCATGGTGGCCTCAGCCTTGGAGTCCATCCTTCGGTCTCCCACTGCAGGCTCGGGGCGCTTCCCCACCCTCAAGAGCTGGCTGATGCCGATTCCCGGCCTCTCTCCAGGGCTACTTTCCAGAATTTCCACTTGAGGATCCTCCTGTTGCCCTGGTCTCCTAGCCTTGACTTTGTCATCTCCAGTGATCTTCAGTGATGTCCATGATCTCAGTGATGCCCAGTGATCTCTGGTAATCTCAGTGATATTCAATGATGTCCAGTGATCTCAGTGGTGTCCAGCCATCTCAATTGATCTCTGATGATCTCAGTGATCTTCAGTGTTGTCCATGATCTCAGTGATCTTCAGTGTTGTCCATGATCTCAGTGATGTCCAGTGATCTCTAGTGATCTTCAATGATGTCCAGTGATCTCAGTGATATCTGGTGATCTCAGTGATGTCCAATCATCTCAATTGATCTCTGGTGATCTCAGTGATGTCTGGTGATCTCAGTGGTGTCCAGTGATCGCCAGTGATCTTGCTCTTGGTCTTCTATGGCCACTCATCCATGGACATGCCACAGTTAGTTCCAGCAAATGCAACTTCTCTCTCCTCCCAGTGCAGACATACCAGGCTCCACGCAGTGGCCCTGCCAGTTCTACCCCAGTTCTGTCCCTCCTGTCTGCTTCATGCACATGACTTGGGGAGTGTGGGGGAGGAGAGGGAGGAAGAGCAGAGGAAGGAGGAGGGAGGGTGGGAGGGGGAGGGTTGACAACCGGATGCCTCTATTTACAGCCCTGGATGTGTCTGCTGCTTTCTCACGCATGTCCAGCTGACCCCTCTCCTGGGGGAAACTGATGCTAATCACACTTCCTCATGTTTGTCTCCAACATCTCACAAACATATGGCCCACGGAGTCTCCAACACAATTTAGATCGAGTAATGAGGAAGCTAAACTGCTCAGAAAGCAGCAAATGGCAAAACCACCTTTCCTCCTGTGGAGGAGTTTACTTGGAGACTTCCGGTCATTGTCCCGCGGGGTCCCACGTCCCCGCAGGGCTGACAGCAAGCAGGCAGGCCCAGACCTCTGCAGCCGAGTGCTGCGGCCATCTTTGAGTACTTTGTTCTTTCTTTCTAAAGACTGAAGAGCCATCATTGGAGAACAGGGTACCACGATCAACCTGCCTCAGGAAGAATTCTCAGACAGCTCAATATGTGGCATCACTGAATCACCTCCTTGAGAGCAGCTTCTGCTCACTTCTTTTTCTGTTCAGGAACAATTCTCAGTCAGGCAGCTCAATGTGTGGCATCACTGAATAACCTCCTCATGAGCATCTGGCTTCTTTTTCTGTTAGGTTGCTGGTCAACCCCAGGGCCTCATACACACTGGGGAAAAGCTCTAGCATTGAGTAACACCCATCATCCTTGCTCTCTCTTTCCACATCTGTATAAGCATCAACTAGTCATACAAGAAGGCTTCATTTTACATGTCCAGATGTGCATGCCATGTACCTTGATTGGACTGCCTTTCTATAACTCTCCCCTATCTCCCTCCCTCCCCACTTCCCAAACCAATCTCAAACTTCACGCAGGTATGGAAAGTATCCTTGCTTTTTAAAAGAGATTACTACAGAGCAATTTTAACTTCTTCTCTCACAATTTTTAAATAAAGACCTGAGTCGCTCACACTAGGCATTTATTTATGTGTTATTTATATTTTTAAGTCAGGAAAACATTGAAAGGCTTTAAAACACCAAACCCGGGGCTGGGAAGGTGGCTCAGTGGTAGAACGCATGCCTGAGACCCTGGGTTCGATTTCTCAGCACCACATAAGCAAAAAGTAAAAAAAAAGCTGGAAGTGGCGCTGTTGCTCAAGTGGTAGAGCGCTAGCCTTGAGCTGAAGAGCTGAGGGACAGTGCCCAGGCCCAGAATTCAGGCCCCACGACCGGACCCCCAAAAAAGAAAAAAAAAACCCAAAGTGCTGGTGGGTGTGTGCATGCACACACACACACACACTCACACACACACACACACACACACACACACACACACACTCTCTCTCTTTAACAGCAATAATCATAAGCACCAATAGTTCCTTTACCAAGAGGAAGATATGAAGTAATCCACATTCTTATATCTTTTGTTGTTGTTATTTAAAAATGGGATGCCTGCTGGGCACTGGTAGCTCACACCTATAATCCTAGCTACTCTGGAGGCAGAGATCTGAGGATCACAGTTCAAAGCCAGCCTGGGCAGGAAAGTCTGTGAGACTCTTCTTTCCAATTGACCACCAGAAAACTGCAAGTGGCGCTGTGACTCAAGTGGTAGAGAGCTAGCCTAGAGCTGAAGAGCTGAGGAACAACACCCAGGCCCAGAGTTCAAGCCCCATGGCCAAATAAAAAAAAGGGACACCTAACTTTACTATGTAAATCTAGACAACAGGCAGATTAGTGTTTGATAATCTGCTTTTTGTTTAATCAGTGTTGTAAGTAAAAGTGTAAAGAGAACACTTAAAAGTTATCAATGCCCAGATGTGGGGACTGCTGTCATTCAGGGTGAGTCCTGAGCAGGGGAAGGGTCTTTTCCTTCTGCAAATCACAATCCTCAAATGACAGCCACGACTGAAACCTACCACAAACTGAAAGAGGTTCAGTCATGTAGCTAGGTAAAAACAAAGCCCTGCTACACACAAACATACATATGTATTTTCTACGTAGCTAGAAAATGCAATGCACTTCTTTAGACTACCACAAAACCTGTAATTAGGAACAAACTGAACAAGCTTTATTTTCTATTCTGAAATGACCTTAAAATGTGTCAGATATAGATGTAAATTAATAGGAAAGCCTAGTATTACCAAGGTTATCTATTTTTCCTAAATAAAACTGTAATTTTAATTAAAATAAATATATTTTGGGAGGTGATGGAAAATAAACCAAGGAAATATCTAGAAAATCATGGAAGCACCTAAGGGTGAATGAGCTGGTCCTGTGAGAAATCTAGAAATTCCAGGACGGGAACTAGGGCCCATACTGTGGGTGTAAGGTTGCTGGAGTGAGCGCCCGGACTGAGTTGGACATGTGGGACCTCCACATGCAGCACAGGGGCTCTCCCCCGTGTGAGCCACTCATAGTCACTAAGTCATTTGAGGAGATTTGTGGAAATACCCCATCTTACTAGCATTTAGACGCCAACCTCCCTCCTTCCCAGGACACTTGCCCCGGCTCAGGCTAGCACACAGAAGGTGGATGAAAGGGAGGTTCAGGCTGTGTTCATGGTCAAAGAGCTCTTCAGAAGGCATGTATCTCCGTGCTAGACTGCACAGGCTTGAACCCTCTTTTAAAAAGCCCAATGTGAAAGACAGAACACTAATAATTCTTTCTTTTGAAAAAGAGGTAAGTTTGAAAGGGAAAAAGTACCATAGAGATTTGTCCACACCCACAGATAGTGACTCAGTGCATCCTCAGGCACCCCACAGGTGCACGGCTTCCCACATCCACATGCCAGGAAACATGCAATTAGCACAGGACTGGCCGAAGTGTATTCCTCCTTTCTCTGTGTACTTGGCCGTTTAACAGACACGTTACTTTGGGGAATCCCAGAGGAAGGTGGCACTGAGAACAGGTGTGTGCGCGCACGTGTGTACATGCGTGTGTGCAGGTGGGAACAGTTTGAGAGAACAGTACTGTAAAAGGAGGCTCGTGTGGTTTTCTGGGCATCTATCTGGAATGGGACTTGATTACACCACCAGCTGCCTCCCATAAGAATGAACACTGCCAACTGACAGCCTCCATACCCTCAGAGCGAGGAAGGCTCACACCTTCCCGTAGGGGAGCTTTTTAAGAACCACTGTGCGTGAGCTGTAAGCACACACTGCCATCCACATCAAGTGGACCAGCCCATCCACCACTGCAGTGTCACACAAGCCCCAGGATGGAAATATGGAAAGCACTTAATGTAATGGGAGGAGGAGCATGCCACCCAGCGAAAGCCAGAGGTCTGAACGCTGCACAGGGTTCAGCTTTGTGTCTGACACTGTGAGTGCTTCCCAGAAGCTGGTGAGCAGGAGGGAGGCAGGCCCAGGCAGCGGACACCGCACAGGAGGAGGCCATGCTGCGGGCAGACCGCACCCCTAATACTTTGATGGCAGCACCTGCATGAAGGAGAGCTCGCCCCACCCCAGGCTCACCTCTTCTTCTTGGTGATGATGAGCACATCATTGAAGAGGAAGAAATAGACCTGCTGCCTGGATGTGCGCCGGGAGAAGAGCACCGTGTCCTCCACATAGGCCGTCAGCTCGCCTCTCTTCACCAGCCACCGCGAGGAGGAGACCAGAGGAAAGGGCTGCCAGGAGAGGATGCTCAGTGTGGGCGGCAGTAATTAGTGTTCTTTGATAAGGAGATCAGAAGATGGCTGGGGGCATGGCTCGTGGTACAGCAACTGCCCACAAGGTGCAAGGTCCTGCCTGAGTTCAAACCCCAGGACCACCAAGACGATTATTAAAAGATACAGGAATTACAAACTATGTATTATGGAATGCACCACTATTTTACAGGTATGTAATAAAATAGCAAAAGGCAATTAGAGATGTTCACACCTTCTTTCAGACAACAAAAAATAATTGAGTTTTCAATATAGTAAACTATTAACTTGACATTATGATGTTAAAGATGAGGAAATGTTACCAAATCAGAAAATCCTAACCATTCTATTAACTTTTTTTTTCTTGTGCCAGTACTGGGGCTTGAACTCAGGGCCTAAGAGCTGTCTTATTCTACCATTTGAGCTGTGGTTTTACTTCCTTTTTTTGGTAGGTTGAAGATAAGAGTTTCATGGATTTTTCTGCTTGGGCTGGGTTTGAACCACAATCCTCAGATCTCAGACTTCTGAGTAGTTAAGATTACAGGCATAAGCCACTGGGGTCCAGCTATTCTATTACCTTTAAAAATGAAAAGAGGAAATGAAAACAAGGAGTCATCTTAAGTTTAATGAGTCCTGGAACCTAACATACTAACTGCAATTACTTTACATAACTCAAATCAGAATTTAATCATAGACAACTGTAGTTACCTAGAGAACAAATGTCTGCATTTACTTTCTAAATTAAAAAAAGCTATTTAAGAGGACAAAACCCTCACAAATTTATGTTTTTCTGCTTCTTACATTACCATATTCCTCAAAGCACCTATTCTTTTAGGGGAAGGATGGCTATTGGGGTTAGAACCCAAGACCTCTTGCTAGGTAGATGCTCTACTGCTTGCTTGAGCCATGCGGCCAGCCCTTTTTAGTGTTAGGCTGTTTTCAGATGGCGTCTTGTGTTTTTTGCCCTAGCTGGCATCAGTCACAAGTACTCCCAACCTATGCCTCCTGTGTGGCTGGGATCACAGGCTTGCTGCCCCACACCCAGCTTGTTTGTGGAGATGCCTGGGCTCATGATGTAAAAAGTGGCTTGTGTGACTTGAGGGTAGGGATGGGAGGGGAAACGGGGGTAACAAAGCTTAAGGAGTGACACTGACCAAGAAGCACTGGACTCATAACCTGACTCATGGAATTGTAACCCCTTCACACACCTACATCATGACGATGGTGATGGTGATGATGATAATGATGAAGATGATGATGATGATGAAGCCTGGGCTGGCCCTGAACCACAGTCCTCAGGATTTCCACCTCCCAGGTGCCTAATGTTCCAGGCATCAGGCCCCATGCCTGGCTCCCCTTCCTAACTTTATGGCCATCTTCTCCTGTCTCCTTCCTCCCTGAAAGCCTCATGTGGAGTTCTTCTGGGATAATCTACCGAACTCATAGGAAAGGCTGTATCTGAGGAAGCACACACTGCTTTTACCTTCACTCAGTTTTATCCAAGCTGACTGGAGAATTCTCAAACTAACCCTGGCCCTTGAGGACTCCTCTTACTCTCTCCCTCTCTCCTTCTCTCCCTCCCTCCCCCCTCCTCCCTCCCCTCCTCCCCCTCTCCCTCTCTCTCTCTGTTGCCAGAAATGCACAGTGCCAAAAACGTGATCTAAAAACAAAACTCTGTGTCCATCAAGTTCTTGGATACAGAACCCATGAGGCAGTGATGAGATAAGACAAAACGTCATCCTATTCTGGGAATGATTAAATAGGAAACTGAGGGACACTGGGAGAACTGGGGGGCTAAGGAAGGGTTGTGCAGTTGTTTCAGACCGTTTAGAGGGCTTTTATGAAGGTTGTTCGCCAGTTACATATAAGTCCAAAAAGGAAGATTGAAAATGATGGTCAAGGGTCTGGGAAGGTGGCTCAGTGGTGGAGTGCTTGCCTCACATACATGAAACCCTGGGTTTGATTCCTCAGTACCACATAAGCAGAAAAAGCAGGAAATAGGGCTTAGGCTCAAGTGGTAGAGCTCTAGCCTAGAGCTGAAGAGCTGGGGGACAGCGCCCAGGCCCAGAGTTCAGGCCCCACGACCAACCAAAAAAAAAAAAAAAAGACAGTCGACCCCAGACTTTCCAGAAGTCATTATTCAGTGAACTTGGGGAATTTCTAGCCTCCAATAACTTGGACCAGACTATTAGCTAACAGGAGCAGCCAAGATCTAAAGGGGCAACAGTGAGATGTGAAGAGAGTTGAGAGTGAGAGAGGGGAGGAGAAGGGAGGGAGGGAGACAGACAGACACAGGAAGAGACCCAGCATGGCTCAGGAGGCCCTGGCACACCTTGCTCACGTGTCAGCCATGTGGATCTACCACTTCAGTCTTGGCTCCATCTTCAGTTTTTTTGCTGGTTAATTGGAGAGAAGTCTCTCACAGACTTTCCTGCCCAGGCTGACTTCAAAAAGCAATCCCCAGATCTCAGTTTCTTGAATAGTGTGGGTTACAGGCGTGAGGTACAAGTTCCTACTTAAGCTCCTCTGTGGCAAATGCAGAAATACATTCCAAAGTCAAGTAAGAGTGGTCCTGGTTCAAGTGCCAGTGCTGGCACAAAACCCAGGAAGCATTTTATTGAGAAAAGTTGCTTTATTTGTATCAACCTTCTGTGGGTGTTGGTGTCAGGCCTCCTGGAATGAGTTGCGTCTCCTTCCTCCCGTTTCACGGTGTACCCCAGGAGCGCTTCTGTTAGTTCTTGACTCTAGCTACTGCTTCAGTCTCACTACGTGTTCACAGATTTAGTTTGATTCGTCTGTGTTCAATTTTGGTAGAAATGTATCCATTTCTTCTAGAATGCTATCCATTTATTCTAGTGTTTCAAGCTTGTTAAAATACAGGATTTTAAAGTATTTCTCAATGATTCTCTGAATTTTCTTGTTACTTGTTGTGATATCGTCCTTATAATGTCTAATTTTATTAATTTGGGTCTTCATCATTTCTCTTTTGATTAGTTAGGGGTTTACCAATCTTTTCAAGGAATCAAATTTTTTATTTTATTAATTCTTTGAAATATTTTGAGAGCTCCATTTGATGAATTTAAACTGCTTGTATTATTTATTATTTTATTCTGTGTGTGCTAGTACCAACTATTATTCTACTCTTAATTTTCTATCTGCTAATTTGGATTTTGGCTTGTTCTTAGTTTTGACCATTTCTGTGAAACCTCTCTGTATCTAATGCAGATATGCATGGCTACAAACTTCCATCTCCACACAGCTTTCGCTTCATCCCAGGCATCTTCTTTCAATTCTAGGAAGCCTATTTCCTCTCTTACTTCTTTGAGGACACACTGTTTATCCAACAATGCATTGTTCAGTCTTGGTGTCTATGAGTATTTCAGCAATGTTTTGTTGCTCTGACGCAGCATGCTTACCCAGCATCCTCACTTTCCTCCTCCTCCAGTTCCTCTTCACTCCCCCCCAATCTGGGTCCTGAACATCACAGACGTTATGCTTGCTGCTCTTCTGGTACCCTAATTGTACAACACTAAATGTCTGCAGTTCCTGGACACAGGGGCACTGTCCTGTCAACCTTCTCAATCTTCCAGAGGATCCCTTCTTCCTTACCTTTCAAGGTTAAGCACACACACACACACACACACACACACACACACACACACACACACGCTTGCTATGGAGCCATTCCTGAGTGCTCCTGGCCCTCAGCTCTAGAGTGCGCCCCCTCCTCTCATGGACATCTCCCTGGGTTCTTCAAGTCTGCTATCTACCTACTCACCAGCTGTGGGCCAGGCTGACTCCAGAGTTTTAAAGAAATATTGTAAAATTGTTATTACAAAGCTGATGTACAAAGCTGGGTGCAGGTGGCTCATGCCTGTAATCCTAGCTACTCAGGAGGCTGAGATCTGAGGATCGAGGTTCAAAGCCAGTCCAGGCAGGAAAGTCCATGAGATTCTTACCTCTAAACCACTAGAAAACCAGAAGTGGCGCTGTGGCTCAAGTGGTAGAGCGCTCACCTTGAGCTGAAGAGCACAGGGACAACGCCCAAGCCCAGAGTTCAAGCCCCATGACCGACCAAAAAAAAAGGTGATGTACAGAAGGGTACAATTACATAAGTCCGATAAAGAGTGCATTTTTTTTTGGACGATGTCACCCCTTTCCTTGCTCTGGGTTTTTCCCTCCCATCCCCACGCACAAGTTGTGTAGTTCATTTTCAACATGGTGTCTAGTGAGTGTCATTGCTGCATTTGTTCACCCCTTGTCCTTCCATCTCTGTGTCCCCCCACCCTCCCAAAGACAGATAAATGGACAAACAAGACAAAAGGAAAAGAAAACAAAACAGCAACAAAGATAAAACCTCTGTTCCCATTTCTTGGAGTTCATTTTGATAAATATTATTTTATATAATCAGATACACATAGTTATTACGCCTTTGTGATCCTTTCCTAAATGTATCCTTCTTTGGTCTCACTATGTGTGAATGCCTAGGATCCTGTATAATTTATATATTTTTATTTTGTTAAAGTATGCAGTGTGTTTACTTGTAGATTTGTAGGCACATTCTAGCTACCATAAATGAGGGAAGGCATGCAGCCTTTGTTTCTCTGGGTCTGGCTTACTTCACTTAATTTTTTACATGGCCACACACTAAAGCTACCAGCACAACCATGACCACTGAAGCATTATTTATGATAGCCAAGATACTGAATCATCCCAGGTGCCCCTCATGGACAAATGGATCAAGAAAATATGGTACACCACATAAGCAGAAACAAAAAAAAAAAGAAAATGTGGTACATATATATAACAGAAGTCTAGGAATCAACCAAAAGGAATGATATTGTACCATTTGTAAGGAAATGGAAAGACTTGGAAAAGATTGTGTAAGTGAAGTGAGCTCCCAGCAGACTTATCTCCCTGCTCCCAGAGGACAGACACAAGGATTTTGTTTTCTAGATGAATTCTAAAATGAAGGTTCTTGGCCAACTTGTTTTAATAATGTCTGTGCTTGGACAAATTATGTCACCTCCAGCCTCTACTTTCTTTTTTGTTATGGGTTGTAGGCTTGAACTCTAGGCCTGGGTGCTGTCCCTCAGCTCTTCAACTCAAGGTTAGCACTCTACCACTTGAGCCACAGCACCACTTCCAGTTTTCTGGTGGTTAATTGGAGATAAGAGTCTCATGGACATTCCTGCCTGGGCTGGCTTTGAACCTCAATCCTCAGATCTCAGCCTCCTTAGTAGCAAGGATTACAGGCTTGAGCCATCAGTGCCTGCTCAGCCTGTACTTTTTTATCTTCAAAATGAATTGAATGAAAATGACTGGCTATTGTCATCCATCAGCAGGCAAGGATATTGCAAATCTAACTGGTGTAATTAGCATCTCTAAGTGGTGTGAATGAACCATCCCCTCTGTTCAGTGAGTGCTGTATGTACATCCACACCACAGGTGTGTCCATCTGTATTCACAGCCATAGGCAAGTGAGTGCCGCCAGCTCTGCCCTGACTTTACCAGGCTGAGAGCCATGTTTCCCTCTTTCATAATGTAAGGGAATCCCTGCACCTCTCCATGGTTCTCCCCACACCCCCAAGAACTACCTTCCACAGAGCACCATGAAAAGCAGATCAATTAGATTCACGTTACCTAAGTTAGGCGGAGTTTTACTAGGAAACTATATGGTTGCTTTAAACTGCTTCATTAAATTTGTGTTTTGGAATGAAATAGAATTGCAATAGTGAGCTCTGATTTGGTTTGGGACACACTCTGTCCCAGCTCATGACACTGTTTTTTGTGGCACTGGAAAGTACCATAGGCATCTCAAACTTCAATGCTGAACTTCAGTTCCAAACACAACTGTTCCAGGGCTGGGGCCAGGGGGAGGGAGAGGGGAGCGGGGAGGGGGAAGGCCAGCTGAGAGAGGCTGGACTCCAAGGCCGAGAGAGACCCTGTCTCTGGTACTGCCAGAGCAGGGTCACCAGGCATCTGCCGGGTCAAGGCTCTCACCACCCCTAGCAAATACCTTCAACCACCTCCTCTTATTTAGATGAGCTTCCCACTAAAGCAAGCAAGGACAAACACAGCTACCTTGATCTTGAACTCCAGCTGGGAGTTGATGGTGTACATCATCTCTGTCCTCTCCATCTTCCTGGCTCCTTCGTTGCAGAGCCGAACCAGCTAGGAACACAGAAGAGGGAGGGTTGAGAGTCCCCACAACCAAGTGCAGATCGCTCCTGTGAAATCATGAAGCCCGGGGAAGCCCAGGGGTGCATTTTTTTTAAGGGACAGAAGTTCAGACAGGACTCAGGCCTGTAATCCTAGCCACTCAGGAGGTGGAGATCTGGAGAATGGCAGTTCTAGGCTCTGGTTGTCTCTGTTAGCAAATAATTTTGAGGGACACAATCACAGGTGGCGCGCTGTATCTTCTGTCTCTCATTTAGATTTTCCATATTATCTGCATGCACATCTGGTGCTCACACACAGGAGCCTGGGTAGTAATGTGAAATCCACATCTCAACTCGCCACTGGATGGGGTTGCATGCGTTCTGCTGTCCTAGCCATGTGGGAAGCATCGGAAAAGGGATGGCCAGCCTGAAGTTTGTGTGAGGAAAGCAAACAAGGCTGGGGGCTCACTCAAGTGGTAAAGCCTTACCTAGCAAGCCAGAGACCCTGAGAGCTGAGTTCATCCCCAGTGATAAAAAAAAAAAAAAAATGCAAAGATTTAGGAGAGTTCCCAGGTAACTGGTGCCTAATCTCACACAACCACACCTTAGGCTCCAGGCCTCCCCTGCTGTGTGGCCATTTGTGTGTTTCCTTGTCTGACCTCACCTCCACACCTGATGCTCAACCACCTGGCTTTCAGGACTCAACCTGGGCACTGCCACTGCAAGAAGTCCAGGGCGCAGCGTGTAGACACACGGTGTCCATTATAACCAAGCCCAGTAAAAAAATAAGGCACAAATCCCTTAGAGCCATCACTGTTTATAAATGAAAGGAAATGGCATTATTTGTTCTGCATGAGTTGTTCCTGCACTTCTTTTGCTCAAAACTAGTGTTCTAACACTTAAGGCTCCACTTACAATCTTTTCACCAAGAGTAAGAGTCTCACAGACTTTACTGTATGGGCTGGCTTTGAACTATGATCCTCAGATTTCAGCCTTCTGAGTAGCTAGTATTATAAACATGAGCTGCTAGCACCTGGCTTTCCCTTATTCTTAATATAGAAATTTATGTTAGAAAAATAAACTAACTCAAAATATACATGATTTTGTAATCACTGTTAACAATCATCAAGTCCTCCGCCATTTGCCAGGCCATTCTAGTTTTTCTTCTTTTTCTCTGGTATAACTGATTGACTGAACTGTTGCCAGTACTGAGGTTTTAACTCAGGGCCTCATGCTCTCACTCAGCTTTTTCTGCTCATAGATGGTGCTCTAACAATTGAGCCACAGCTCTGCTCCTGGCTTTTTGCTGGTTGAGGCATGACGTCTCATGACCTTTCCTGCCCAGGCTGGCTTTGAACTTCCACCATCAGGTCTCAGCCTCCTGATTAGCTAGGATTAGAGGCATGAGCACCTGGATTGTTCTATTATACTGTAAGACTTCTCTGCTGGTTCCTGTAACTATTGGTTCCCTGTGGGCCTTAGATCCAAAGCTCTCACCTTCACCGCATTCCAAACCCTCCCTAGACAATCCCACCTACATCCCAACCTCCAAGAAGGCAGCTCTTGAATCCCGTCTCCAAGTTGAATCTCTCAGGAGCTTCTGACTTCTTTACTCAGTCAACTTGCATATGTTTTAAGCCCTCAGTTACAACATACTCACACGAACTCATCAGCACCTGCCTCTGTTACTGGTGCCTCTGTTCCAGTCATAAATAAGAGCGCCCACCCCATTTCCCTGACACCTATTCCCAACTGTGCTCAGTCAACCCATCTCCAAGACACTTACCCCATGCACTGGTCTATTTCCCTCTTCCTGTCAGGCTGCTCATCATCTCCCAAATCAGCCATAATAGGGTCCATAACTAGGTTCATAATGGGTCCCATCTCTTCACAATACATGTATCTGTAGTTTTCACATCACTCCCCAACATGGGAGGCAGGGGCCCACACAGCTGGCCCCCAAGGCCCCTCTCTCTTGGATAATTCCCAGCACTTACTCCGCAAGCACATGAATGTCTGCAATCTGAGACGTTGATCTCCCAGGCTCGGAGGACTCCAGCTGTGTCTCAGCTGGGACACTACTGTGTGCTGTCCTGTGTCACCCACCATCACCACTGTAATTCTCTTCCATGTCTGCCTTTCACACCACGAGAGAAGTAACCACATCTCCCTATCCGTTGCCCAGTGTTCAAGGCCTGGCATTATGCCTGGCAGCACAGTTGATACCCAATAAATATTTGTGGAAAGGGAGGGTGAATCAGCAGCTATTCACACACCAGGAGACAAGAAGGAAGCTACAGCTCCTTCTTGTAAACTGAGACAGTCCACAAAGCAAGTGCACTTGAGCATAGCAAATGCTGTTCTGTTTTCAACAACCTTCAGAACGCTATGCAAATGTTGCCAAAGTCTATGGACTGTGTAAACACACAGGCAGAGACACGCCTGGCTCAGAGTCCTGCCGCGCTTACCTTGCTCACCTCCTTCAAGGCCCTCTTGCAGACTTCGTACTTGGGAGAGTCCTTGGGTGTTTTTTGGCAGATGGTCTGCAATGAAGTAAAAGCAGACACAATCAATTTGTTCACCCAATTAAAAATAAAACCAACAGTCAACTATTTCCTCCTTTTCACAAAAACTTAATGTGGACACAATACTGAGGATGATGATCACGATTATATTTTTTTTTTTTTGGGTCCGGTCGCGGGGCCTGAACTCTGGGCCTGGGCGCTGTCCCTCAGCTCTTCAGCTCAAGGCTAGCGCTCTACCACTTGAGCCACAGCGCCACTTCCGGCTTTTTTCTTTTTGCTTATGTGGTGCTGAGGAATCGAACCCAGGGCCTCAGGCATGCAAGGCAAGCGCTTTACCACTGAGCCAACTTCCCAGCCCGATCACGATAATATTAAATCGAATTTGAAGAATCAGGAACTGATCTTTAAACATACAGGCCCTAGGTAGGCCCGGGAAATAAGAGGTCAGACCTGTCACTTAATCTGGGGACTTTACAGGACATGCATTCATGGGGCAGAGTCTCGAGGGTCTATTTTGTCAGCATCTAGGGGCAGGTGCCGCGGCTCTTACATCCATGAGCAGCGGCAAGCGGGTGACCCGCTGCATGGGCAGGATGAGGAAGGAGATCATGGGCAGGTTCCTGCAGTCCTCATGGGACTCGATCCGAGACAGCACTTCCTTGAAGGAGGGATTGGTAGCCCTGGAGGAAAGGAAGCAGAGCAGAATGGACTTCATAATGGCTCTCTTGCTAGCTCAGACACCAAGTTAAACTGAATCATAAAATGCTGCAACCCCTTGTCCACAATGTTTAAATGTATGGAAACATACAGAGAACATGGCTGTCATCGTGGGACCGAGGGGACAGAAAGGGGGAGAAAAAGAGAATGTTAGAGGGTAAATAATATCGAAATCACCGTGCACCTGTGAGCGAGGATGGCAAAATGAGGCTCATTGAAAGCTGCTTGACTATCTGGGGGAGGGAGGGGAGAGCAGGGCAAATCGGAGCTTCAATCTAATGGAATGCCATGCACACCTGTGAAATACCATGGTAAAACCACTTTGAATAATTAGTGTATACTAAAAATAAGGTGAGTTACACAAATGGAGTTCCTGGGGGGCAAGAGGTAAACAGAGTGGGTGAAGGAGATAAATAAGGTCAAAATACTTTATATACAAGGGTGAACACAGAACAGAGAAGCTTGTACAAGTTGGGGAGGGAAGGGATGGGAACGCAATGGAGGGCGGAGTGTGATCATAGGCATCATGTGCATGTGAGGAGTTAGAACGAAACCCCTTGTGGGAAAATATGCAAACACATTATAAACACATAATGACACGGGCACGCAGAGGGCTTGTGTGCATCTTTATACTCCAGGTTGAAGATGCAATATCACTCAGTAATATTAATGGCAAGGGAAGATGCATGAACTAGAAATTTGTAAAGCTGGCCTAAGATACTCTCTGAGGAAGAGACATCAGGCTGGAGTTATTAAGAGTCTTTTTGCTTTTTTTTTTTTTTTTTAAGGAGTCATATACTTGCCAGGCAGCTGCTCTACCACATGGGCCACAGCCATAACCTTGACTCACAATCCTGCTGGTCTCTGCCTCCTATGTAGCTAGCGAGGATCACAGATGTAAGACAACACACCTGCCTTCCTTTGGTTTTACAAAGAAGCCCCCCTCTTAACAGCCAGGCAGACCTTCTCTCTCCATGCTTCTGCTCCCCAGTGCTAGTGTGCCAGGCACATGTGACCAAGCCAGCCAGAAAACCTCTGACTACAGTAGCCAGAACACTGCTCCTCCTCTTCTGGTGATGTAAGAAGTACCACACAGCATCTCCAGTGGGAACAGCCACATGTATCTGCAGAGGGGCTGGAGAGGACTCACTCCAGGCCAAGAGCAGGCCCAGGAGGGGTCTAGCTTGCCACAGGATGCAGGCGCGGGGACTGACTGAAGCCAGGTCTCCGAGTCTCTGTGCAGTGCTCCTGGGCACCCTCACCCAGCCTTGATATGAGGTGGAGGGAGGGACAGGGAGAGGGACAGGTGACGCCGGGCACTGCACACCAGGATAAAAAGAGTGGGCAAATAGGCCAGCAGCAACAATGATTGTTTCTCCAAGAGGTGACTCGAAAACTTTATGATTTTGTTCAATGCTATGGACTGAAAGTAAATTGGAAAATACAGGGGATAGTAAATTAAGAGAAATTACATAGAATTATCTTTTTGGTTGCTCAAACTGAGAAGCTGTATGCTTTCCCTGAGATTTAAAGACATCTTCTGATGCTCCAGACCACCCAAACTCCACCTTGGCGGGGAGCTTCATTCCCTGCTGCCAAGGCTGGGATTTCGAGTCTGGTGTCCCGGCTGGTCTGCTTAGTTCCTGGTTCCCAGGCTCTGCTACAGGTGAGTTCACACACCACCTGCAAGGAAACCCCTGAAGACACAAGTTCTAATCTCCAGGTCTGACTAAGGCAATCACGATAACATCCCTATCTGGGGAGTCCCATACATACATCATCACTATTCACACTTGTTTCAATCCTGCAAAATAAGAACAGCCCTCTGCGCTGGCTCCAAATCAAGGCTTTGTTTTCAAACATGACCTTTGTGTCAGTGCTGGTCACAAAACAACTCTGTGCCCAGTCAGGGGACCCGGGGCTTGGGGAAGTGTGTGGGGGAACATTTCCCCCAGGGCACCTGCCCTAGCATCTGGAGGTGCTCCGGTACCGAGTGGACAGAGGCCAGGGATTCTGCTACAGACCTCGCAGTGTGCAGGTTGGCCTTACAACCAAGTCTTCTGGTTGCTAAAGTCTGAAGCATGACAAACTTTCACACTAACACCCTGGCCTTGAGCAGCTGTAGGATTTCCACCCGGCCATCAGAGCCTTTCCAGAGGGTGCTGAGAGGATGGAACATTCGGCGCTCAGCGGTCAGCCCGCCTCAGCCAGGGGGCTTCTCCAAGAGCGGAGAGGCCCTCCTCTACCAGTAGACCAGAGCCAGAGAGGAGTTACACTCTCAGAGCTGATGAGCCCCCCATTGGGGGCTGGGATCTCTGGGGGAGGGGGAAAGTCTGGCACTTCCCCAAAGTGTGTTTCCAGCAAGGAGCAACTACTACTCATGACAAAGCAAATTGGGGTAGACTGTTCAACCATCTTCCAAAGATGGAGGTGGCTTCCATCTCTTATCAAAACTCTGAGACATAAGAAAAGGTTTTCTGAGAATTTAATGCTTGGCTCTTTTTTATTGTGGCATAATTAAAACCTTCAAGAACCATCTTTTTTTCTTTTCCTCAGACCCCCTTCAGCTCCTTGGCCCTAGCTACCTAAGTGGGAGAGAGTGGGAAGTCAGTTTTCAGAGACTAGGTAGTATGGAGGTTAGATGAATTAGAAAACCCTAATCCAAGCTTCTGGCTCCATCTGCTTAAGAACTGGCCTCAGGCAAATCACTAAATTAGCAGTGTGGGGTAGGGGAGTGACCATCACCTACTTTGTCTGGTGACAGCTAAGGGGGAGAGACAAAATAAGCCAAGGACAGAGACCAGTTGCAAGCCCCTAAGTGCCTAGAGACCAGACTTTCTTCCTCAAACATCTCCATCCTCAAAGTGGTCCTTTAAAACCTCTCTCCCCTGGGGGAAAACTCAGGAGGAACTTAGAAATCTCCTGTTATCACTGTATTTGATTTTGGTACCCTAGGTATTGTACATGCATTTATCTGAATTAGAGAAGGGAAGGGGAACAACAAAATGATGAGACAAAAGACAAACGCGGAACCAATGCAACAATGGTACTCACAAAACACTATGCTGGAAATGATCTGTACAACTTGGGGGGGGGGGGAGAGTGGGAGAAAAATGAGGCAAGGGGTGACAAGTTCGACAAGAAATGTACTCATACCTTACTTATGTAACTGTAACCCCTCTGTCCATCACCTTGACAATGAAATTAGAATTTAAATTAAAAAAAATCTGATTTAGGAGATGAATGAATTGCTGTCTGTGAGCACTGAAGAAGGGTGGAGGCAACACTGACTTGAGTGTGCAAGCGAGCCCCACTCACGGCAGCCCCTGTGAGCATGGAGGAAGGGTGGAGGGAGCACCGACGCGAGTGTGCGAGCAGGGGGCCCCCACTCACAGCAGCCTCTGCAGAGTGCGCTGCTGGTAGACTTCATTAGTGCAGTACTTCACATAGGGGTCAAACGTGGATGCTGTGTGCTTCTCCACAATGTCGCTGATGTCATCGATGATGATGCTATTCTGATGTCTTGCTTCCAACTCTGTAAAGAATCTGAGAAAAACAAAGAGAAGCCTTTATACGCTTCCTTCTATATGCACTAACAGACCTCACACCAGGCTGTAATGGGATACGTAAAATATCAACAATACACAGCATTGACTCAAAAAGAGCGAAAGAAAAAAAAAAGCCTATGAAGGTTTTGTCTAGAGTCAAATCCAGCACACAAACACCTTATTACCTAAAGCTCAAATGGACATTTCTCTCTCTAGGTCCATTTAAAATAAACCAGCCAGGCACTGTTGGCTCACATCTATAGTCCCAGCTACGCATGAGGCCTAGACCAAAGATGGTGGGTCAAAACCAGCCTGGACAGGAAACCCCTCAACACTCCATTTCTAATCAACCAACAAAATTCTGGAATGGAACATTGCTTAAGTGGTAGAGCACCAGCCATGAACAAGAAAGCTGAGTGAGAATGTGAGGCCTCAAGTTCAAATTCTGTCTCCAGGACCTGCCCCCAATAACAAGAATAAACAGCATATGTCACTATTTTCAAGAATACCTTCAATACAGAGAAGGGAGCAGTTCAGGCTGTGTATTTTATTATGCTGGAAAATACATAAGCAAACCACTCTAAGAAAAAACAACTTCAGGGCTGGGAAGTTGGCTCAGTGGTAGAGCGCTTGCCTTGCCTGCCTGAGGCCCTGGGTTCGATTCCTCAGCACCACATAAGCAAAAAGCAAAAAGCCGGAAGTGGCTCTGTGGCTAGAGCGCTAGCCTTGAGCCGAAGAGCTGAGGGACAGAGTTCAGACCCCATGACCGACACCCCCCCCCCCCAAAAAAGAAGAAAACAACTTCAAAATAAATCTAACTCTGCATGTTCTTCCCCTGAAAATAAAAACATTAACGTACATGGTATTTAACTGTTTCCATAGTTTATTTAGATTGAAATTTAGTACAGACAGATAGGTGAACAGCAATTTAGGGTTGACAGATTGGCTATGTGAATGCATCCGCATACATACAGTATATACACATTAATGCATGTGTATATCTCTACATACACATGTTATATACACACATTGTACATGCACAGTAATATATGTATATATCTCTACACACATGTGTTATGTATACACACACTGTACATGCACATTAATGTATTGCATACCTCTACATACATATTATCTATCTTCTCTCTCTATATATACACATATATACATATATGTATATATATATATACGCATATATATATATACATATATATATATATATTATATAAATATATATAAAACCAGTAAGTCAGCGAGTATCCATTTGTAAACCAGAGAGTATCCATTTTTAAACGGGTAAGTATCCATTTGTGGAGATCTAGGTGGTTTCTACCTTCTGACCACAGCTACACTGCTATGATGCCCGTATCTGTTTGAGTCTCTTTTCAGATCTCTGGGGGATAAACGTGGAGACATACAAGGCAGATGATGTCATAATGCCAACAGCCCACGCAGATGAGTCCGGCTGCAGCCGAGGGGCAGGTGCATGCTGGGTGGGGGCTGAGCAGGGGGCTCTCTCTCCCTCTGGGCACTCACATCTGGGCAGCTCACTGTTCGGTCAATGGCATGGCAGAACCAAAGGTGACTACTGGACTTGCAGCCCTGGCTCCTGGCACACATCCCTGGGCCCCTTTGGTGCTGAGGAGGTAGGGGGTGGGGCTTCGTGGGAGGTTCAGGATTGGGCCTGGCAGCCAGACCTGGCAGGCTGGAGCTCAGTTTCTTTCTACTCCCTTCCAAGGCAAAAGAGGGCTGGAGTCATTCACCAAGGGCCTAGGATTCGCCATACCTGTGAACCAACACCTTCTGAAACCTCCTCAGCAGAAGGAGCTGGAGGCCAGCAGGCCCTGGAGGACCTGGGGCTCTGTGGCCCTGAGCACCCCCTCCCTGGCCTCCCTGAGCTGCATGCTTCACCATATAGAGGCAACCGTAAAATACCTCCTGCATTCTGGGAGCTGATCTAGAAAGCAATCAGGCCTTACATACAGGAGGGCAGATGGGGTGGGCAGGACAGAAGTGCAGGGTATTTGGAGGCCCCATGCTTGCTACTGGCTTTGAAGTGAGGGCTGTTTCATGGAACTGAGCTTGTAAACTCCAGGAAGCCGGGCTGGCTCTGTGAAGTTCACCTGAGAACAGTACACATCCAGCTGGCACCTGCTGATCAGTGAGAGGAAAAAATGGAAATATTCATTTGGTGTCAGAGGTGTGGTGACAATGGTAAGACAATGGCAATGGCACAGGGAAGGCCGGGAATCTGCCCCGCAATAAACCCACGTGTTACAGGGCAGGCTGGAGACTGGCTGGTAATAAACCCATGTGGCACAGGGCAGGCCAGGGACTGCAGGGCAAACCTAGGAGAGCAGATGGTGATCTGGGTGACAGGCCACCAGGAGACCAGGATGGCCCGATGGAGCCTGGGCCGCTCTGACTTGTGTAAGGCAGGGTACAGTGCACAAGAGGCACAGGCAGTGGTGAGGGAGACTGCCAGGGTTCCTATGGGTACAATGAGCTAGTGGAGGGTGTGTGGAAAATAACACATCTGTGATGCAAAGACCCACTTTGCCCAGTTCCAGGTGGATAAGCAGATGGTCGGATGGCCAGCTGGATTCTAGAAAAGACCCAGCAGAGGGAAGTTGAAGAAGATGCTACCATGTCTAGCCAAGCACCCCACATGGGCAACAGGCAGGTCTGTAAACCCTTAGTGGGGACAGGGGCGTGGGAGGAACAGGAGAAGCAGGAAGGATGTGCCTGTGTCTGGAAGGAAGGCGGAGAGCCGACATCTGTGAGAACACAGGGAGCTGCACAGGCAGGACCTCCAGCTGCATTTCAGAAATGTGCAAGGTATTTGCAATCTGTTTGTTTGTTTTGGTCCGGTCATGGGGCCTGAACTCTGGGCCTGGACACTGTCCCTCAGCAATTCAGCTCAAGGCTAGTGCCCTACCACACGAGCCACAGCACCACTTCCGTTTTTTTTTTTTTCTTTTTTGCTTATGTGGTGCTGAGGAATTGAACCCAGGGCCTCATGCATGCAAGGCAAGCACTCTCCCACTGAGCCACCTTACCAGCCCTGCAATGTGTTTTAATTCCTCTTGGTTTTCTAATGCAAGTCTTAGGGAAAAGCTCAGTGAAAACAGAAAAAAAAAGAAGCCATTATGAAAAACTACCTTTGGTGAACCACAGTCCACCCAAAGGACGCCCTGCCTCACCAAGGCTCTGGTGGGAGCTGGTGATAGATAACGGTGCCTGCAGCCAGTGGGAGGCCTGGTGTGGGGTCTGTTAGGTATTCTGGTGTTGGTTCCAAACAAACAAACAGCAGCTAATCACAGGAAGAGGACAAGATTAACATTCCTCTCTTGCTCCAATCTCAGGAAGGAGAAGCAGGATCCCAGGGAGCCAGTCTTCAAAGTGGAGAATTCATGCACGCTGTGATCAGAAGGGAACAGGTAAAGGAAGCTGAGATTCTCCAGCTTGAGCATCTGGGTCTCCATGCACAAGGCCTTTGACAAGCCTGGGAAAAGATGTTCCCTCCAGCAGCAAGTACAGGGAGAGAACTGGAGACTAAATAATTATGTATTTATCCTCCTTCTGTTGGAAAGAGTATTTTTAGAGCAACAGATAATCACTAGTATGTATCTCTCAGAAATATGATACAACAGTCTCCACATGTTTTTTTTTAGTTGTGGGGCTTGAGCTCTGGGCCTAGGTACTGTCCCTGAGCTTTTTTGTTCAAAACTAGCACTCTACCACTTTGAACCACAGCTCCACTTCCAGTTTTCTGGTGGTTAACTGGAGATAAGAGTCTCATGTATTTTCCTGCCCAGGCTGTCTTTGAACCGTGATCCTCAGATCTCAGACTCCTGAGTAGCTAAGATTACAGGTATGTGCCACCAGTGCCTGGCTACATCAGTATTTTGATTGCTTAATTAATAAATGAGTAAGATGACATTCTGATATCCTAAATTTATAAGACTACATATCCTGATTACAAGCGTAGTTTTGTGGCTATAAGCTACACATTGGCAGGGAAGACAGACAAGGGAAAAGTACAAGTTCAAAACAGAAGTCTTTCAACATAAGGTCCGGGGTGGCATGGGCAGAAATGAGGTGCCCAGTTCTGATACTGCCCATTTCTTAAATCCCAGCAGACAGGGAGTCTTAAATGAGTCTATCAGATGCTCCAAAAATGCATTACAACATGGCTAAATCTGTGGCACAGCTTTCAACAGCAGCTTCTACAGCAACCTCAAAGAACACTGCTAAGCAAAGTCCACGAGCACACTTATACCAGGCATGCACCTGCACTGCCTCTTCAGCAGGCAGTGCAGCCGGGGTCAAGCTTCGTACTGCAAGGGCAGACCAGCCACTGAGGGCACCCTGGGACATACCGTGTAGGGACACACATTGCACACAGACAGCCCAGAGGCCTTCTCCAAACACCACAGCAGAGGGGGACAGCAAGAAGCAGATAAACACAGCTCCCATTGTGCCCCGTGGGGCATTTGTTCCGATTACTTCTCGGCTGGAAAAGGAATTCCAGTGCTCTCCTGATACAGAGACAGCTTTTCTCACTACAAAGCGACTTTTGTCTGAGTCCCCCACAAATGACCAGGTCAGTCTTAGCCAATCTTGACATTTCTATGGACTCTTTCCATCAAATTTTTTTCCAAGTCGAAATCATTTCCTGAAGCCCTTTGAAATCCAAGGAAAACATTGTATAGACAAAATATCTGTTAAGCTCTTTTACATGCCACTCACCATCCACACTCCTCAGGATATTTTACTGTAACTGTATTTTAAAGAGGAGGCAGGATGGTTAAACATTATAGAGAATGATCACAGTAAATGCTGAACTTATACTTAACACAGTATTTCATTTGCCTTCTCAGAATACAGAGAGTGACCTCAGAAGTTTTAAAGAACATAGTATTTTCACATCCTTCACAAAAAATTCAATTTTGATAAAGACAGTTTGGTGCTTAAATTACCACCTAAGCGTCAAGG